TGACGTCAGGCAGATCGACAGAAGGACCATTAATAAATAAGCCATTTTCAGACCCTAGTGACGGACTCGAAACTTTTGATCTCTTAGTTTTATGTATTGGTTTGTTTACGGCAGCAATGACGCTATTCACTTTAAGGCTACAAGGCACGACATAAAGCAGCAAAAATTTATTGTGACAATAAAATAGCAAGATTAGAGACTTATCTGCAGCACAGATTAAAGTCATTGGTTGTCTGTCAACCTCAGCTTTTGCAGTAAACTGGTAGGATACGGTCCTCAACAGTTGGTTCTAATTAGTTGTCGTGACCTCCCTCTGATCCTCTCTTACCCTCTCCCCCTTTGTAGATTTTGTCTGAATTCACACAGTGATCATCACACACTCCCCGTGCCTTGGAACTGATACGGCAGGAAACAAAGAGTTTCGTCTGTTATCAAAGTTCCACTTCACTCCGCAACATCAACAATCTTATAATTTTATTCAACTCCAGGCAATACGCCACGATACTGCTGTTTTATAACATAGTGGCGTGCCCACCAGTAAACTCAAGTTTGGCGATTCTTCAATGAATTGAAATTCTGCACTTTGATAACGACTGTAAGCCTTTTTCGGAAATTACTGAAGCACTGAACATTTTGGTGCATTTATGCCCATCTTGGCACCCCACACCGAAACTCGCCTCCAAGCAACGTATACCTTTAGCTGACTGCATCAAAATGTTGGATGAACAAATCTAGCTTAGAATAAAATTGGTGCTTTCTAGAGCGATTACTTACCTCAACTTTGTCAAAATCCTCGAAATTTTACTTTCTGACGTGCAATTTCGGAACCTTTTCTTTTAATACCAACAATAATGTAACATATTTCATGCAAGCAAAAGCCTCATGGATGCAAGCCAGTCTACAGATCTGATCATTGTGGTAATGTGAGCTGACTGTTATGTACTGTATCAAGCAATACATAAGACACCTTTCTTCAAGACGCATGAGAAGTGAGTTCACTGAAACAACGTTAATGCTTCACAAGCAACAAGGAATAAAACGGATAAACACCGGCATAATTGTCCGGCAGATTGAAGCAAGCTTGTTCGAAATTAGGAATTGCTCACCCAGTGTTTGAACAATTTAGTATTCTTGAAGGTAGAGAGGGTAGTAAGGCCACGACCTCGGGTTGTGTCCATGCCTCATAAAGTTATGATGGTATAGTGAACGCTGAGAAATAAGATTACTGGGATTCCATGTGGACAGAGAGCTGGTTGGGTAGGCCCAGAAAATGAATAACAGAGGCAAGCAGCACGCAAAATTCACAACAGGAGCACAAAAATACTATGCAGATGTAAAGCGATTCAAAAAATCTTGGAGCTTGTTGGGGTCGTTGAAAATAGCAATATTCACTGACAGTCGTGTATGACAAACACACGACGTTACCCGTAAAACCGGTCTGCTTCTGACTCGGAAACACACAGTGTTATCGCCAACCCTTATTCCAACAAAATAACTTATTTCTTTGAAAGTCGTCGACCAGATAAATTTTTTGTGAAGGCCGTTTGGAATAATGCCCTGGGATAGAAACAGTTCTGAAGCGTTCAAATAGGTTCATGGAGACGCTGAATGAAACTGGCCTCAAGACACTACTATATATCCATGCACCGCCTATGATCCACAGCGAAGTCCGTTTATGCGTGAGCAAAGGCATAAAAAGCGAAGAGCTACCACATAATCCCTTCATATCCTTATTTTTAATGTAAGAATTTGAATGGAAATATTCATTCATTCTTCAAATTGCAATGGCTTAGACACTTTCTGCCGAAGCCCAATTTCGAGCGTTACTGCTTCCCACTGAACCACCACCTGCTTTTAAATGAGTACTCAAAGGACTGAGTCACCATTACTGTAAAGAATCTTTGAAGACACTTCGATCCACTGTTTTCTTCGAAAACAAGGGCTGTTTGCCCACACGTAATGCTCAAGGGATGGTTGCGTGTGCGCAGAAGAAGTTAATCACATGTGAAATTTAACTTACTTATGTGGTGTCATGCCCTCTATTGAATGTATAGTCACAGGTTTCATGTGTATATTTTTGTTGAAAATATGCTATTCACTGAGCTTTGGAAATGCTTTCATTTGAGGGAGGGGATCTGAAGATGTCTCCGTCAGCGATTGTAATAAGTGGGAGGTATAGTTGGACAACTTAACTGACGAAGTAGTCGCAACTGTTGTAAGCTTCACCATGGGATGTAATAAGAAGTGTGTGAATTTACCGACCAGGGTATGTCGCCTCATACTTTTTAGGGGCCCATTATACTGAGCGCTGTGGGACATAGTTGCGATTCACTATGTTGGGGAATTTGCAGGAGGATAGGAACCTTTCTAACATACGACTAACCTGGATAGTTGAGCTGGAAGCTCTCATGTCAATAGGAAGATGGTCCTATATTCCCGAGCATTTAATAGGGAAGAAGTTAGCTCAGAGGGTGTTCTAAGGGTTTTCGCTTTAACATTGTAGGCTTGATTGCGAAGACTGTAGCAACTTTCTGGTGTGAAACGGACTTTCTCGCTAGCTGTAAAGGATATTTTATGTAAACTCTTGAAGAAAATATAAGTTAGTCTTAAGAACTCTCATCCAAGATGCTTGCGGATTAAGAGACGAACACCGAGACGCATGGCCCTTACCGCATCCGTAAACAAATAGCCTGGATGTAAAGTACCTCTGCACAGCCTCAGTCTTGAGTTTGTCGTCTATATGAGTGTTCCCTAAAGTAAACAAACAGTACTCCGATGGGCGTTGGATGCAAGTTTCGTGTAACAACAATTCGGCCTCGTGGTTGTAAAAGTTACGAGTGATATGGCCTAGTGATATTCTGGACTTACGAGTTTGTGTCGCAACACATTCGGAGAACGTGAGGTCATCAGAGTAACGGAGCCCCAAGTCAAGGGCGCCACAGAGACAAGGTAGCACCGCAGCTCGCAGAGATAACTGTCGACGAATAGAAGGTGCTCCAAAGCACGTCCAACCTCACTTATCTAAGTTGAACTGGAGGTTCCATGTGATGGGCCGGGTGCTTACTGGGTCCAGTTCGCTCTGCACTAGCCTTTGGCAGCAGGGCAGATCGTCACATGAGAATAAGCATGCAACCTTTAGATCATCGGCAGAAAACGGTTTACAAAACCGGAAAGCATTTGCCAAGATCATCAACATAGAGGGTGAAAAGAAGAGGACCGAGCACGCTACCATGAACTACGCCAGAAGTGATGGTCCCAGGCTTAGAAAGCTGAGACTCGATTTGAAACCAAATCACTCATACGAACCTGCTATTTACGCTTAGATTTCTAGGTTGCTGAAAAAGCCAGCAACTTGTGTGGTGGCTGAAATTCACTAAAGTGGGCAACCAGAAAGGAACATTACTGTCCGTAGTAAAAATGATGCCGCCCAAGTTGATAAAGCAAAAAGCACTCTTTTAGGTGAGCTGCTGCTTTTATCAGTGCTCACGGACCACCTACTTCAGGTAAAACATACGCACTGTGACGTGCCTGTTTAATTCCTACAGTTATGATCGTAATTCAGAAAGAAATCAAGAATGTGGATCTGTGAGGCCTTACTTTCGGTGCCAGCCTAGGCGCAGAGAAACCATGCTTCCGTGTTGCTCGACCTGCGCGGCGAAAAATGGATCACTTGTGTTGCCAGTTCAATGCGGATGAGTTTGGGAGCCTGGATGCGCATGGATACAGAAGTTTATAATGGGAGTAAATAAAAGTAATCAGTACAAAAACAGAAATTCACAAGCTCAAAAAGGACTGAGCTCATCAGTTCAGAAATGGGTCTCAAGCAAACTTTGCGGAAGTAAAGGCCAGTGGCTGGTTATCGCAGACGTTAAATACCTACGACCGCGAGACCAAGAGATAAAAGAATGGAGTAGCTAGATAGAGTAGTATATTTAATAGCCACGGCAAAATACCAATGCCTTTCAACTAACTGGCTGGAGAACGGCGTATAAGCAGTGCAGTGTAATACGACAATGTTCCAAGTGGCATGGATGCCTGACCATGTGCCTTCAGCTGAACAAGTCCGTCAAAACTGTGGAGTTCAGTATCAATGTTGAATCTCGCTCAACCGTGAGCTATTGATTTTGGGGGATTACTTGCCACTGCATTTGATAAAATATGACTCTTTCAGGGCTATGTGAATCTTTGGAGAATTGAATCCCAGTTGCTGCACTTGCGTTTTTTGCATAGCTTCACTTAGAATGCGGGACAATAATCTTTCCCCCACCTAAAAAAGACAGGAACTATTTATAAAGAATCCAGAGGCGGCACAACAAAATGGATCCGGGATTAGATGTGAATAATATAGAAAATAAAGAGAAACGTTTGGATAATATCCTTTGGAATAGAGAAGACTAAATGTGACCCAATGATTACACATATCTTTTTAATACTACGATCTATCCGCCTCATTGTTTGCTTAAATTAAGGTATGGTATCAAACATAGGGGGAATATAAAGAAATCGATCGCCAAAGCGTTTTAGGTCATAGAATGATATCTCTGTAGAGGGTGATAAGGCCAAATTTTAATATTTCTTAACATATAAAATTCACTTTCAGTTACAGACTCATCGCGAACCCAGGGATCGGGTGACTCCCAATCTGCCTTTTTGCCTTCTTTCTTGATTCTGTGTACCCAGACATATTCACCAGCAGTCTACTTTTATGGATGACAAGGGCGATGGAATCAAAATTGTCCTAGTTTAACACAAGGCATTTGAATTCATTTAAAGACTACTCTCTTTCTTGCTGAATAGTCCACTATAAGTTGGAAAATCAGATCGAACCTCTGACTGACTTCAAATCTGATAATCAAACACTTTCCGAAGAAAAATAATGCTCTGTTGCTTCACTACTACTGTCTAGAATGGAGAACGACACATTGGAGCTATACACTATACCATTGGATTTGTTTCTTTGCTTTTAAGTTTAGGAGGCGTTTTTGGTCAGTTCTCCGAAAATGGCTGCGTCTGTTCTTCCAAGGTTTTCCGAGCTATATGATTTGAAAGAGGAAATAGGACGGTAAGCTTACAAACCTGACTGTGTAAACCGTAACTCTTGATAATCCTAAACGATCTTAATATGTCTATTGTTCGTATTTATACACCAGTGGAGCGTTTTCAATTGTCAGGAGATGCGTTCAGCTCTCAACAGGGTTAGAATTTGCTGCAAAGATAATCAATACCAAACGTTTGTCAACTAGAGGTTAGTTTAAATCTGATGTTTTGAGAATTTCTTTTGAGTAAAGTAGTCCTGAAGTGTATCTTGTCACTGCGAAATGGCCCAGATATTAATTAGCTAAGTATTAGGATGTACATACTGTAAACTTATGTTTAGTTCATTTCATTGAGTTGTCGTCATACCCAGAGAGTAGGATTAGAACGTTCGTCTTTGAGAACGCTCCTCAGCATTGACTCAGGTCTTTTGTTCACCAGTGCATCTGACTTATCAAACATGTCACTATTACCCTGCAATTTATGCAATTTGTTTCGTAGGTTTTAGCTAATTGATCCTTTTACAGTATTGGGTTTAGTTGCTTTTGGCATACTACTGACAACTGGTGGTATTTCTTTTGGTTTCTGTAATAGCCGTCGCCGCCAATATTGGTTGTTCTGTAGATAATCATGGTCAGTTTGTAAAATAACTCATTCAAACTAACACGTATTATCCTCATTGCATGAAGATTTATGAGCAGTAACTGCTCATGTTTTGCTTTAGCTCTGATAAGAGTTGGCTGTAATAGAATGTATTATACGCAAGGGAAACTAACGGTTCTATATGTTTGGGTTTCCGTGGTGTTTTTCATTGTTTTGGTAGCTGTGAAACCTCTTTTGTTTTCGGGACACATGTACCTTGGATGCTGGTTTATTTAAATTCCTTTACCTTGTCTTTTGGGTACGCTTTTGGTCTAAGTAGATTTCTTCTAATCTGTTGAAAACATCAGTAATTTCATAATCATACACAATACTCCAAGTTAGTTTTGCTTGAAAATTTACTTTGAACCCTTTTTCTAAGCTTCGTCAGTAAAGTTTTAGATGCTTTATTTCAGATGTTTTCGATAGGATTTGGTTTCAAGTATCCTATTTATATCACTTGTTTAACATGTTGAAAATCTACTGTAACTTTTCAGATATGCAGAAGCTTGACCGTGAAGCGAGGATATGCAGACTTCTCAAACATCCCAACATTGGTAAGTGTTCAAAAAACTTGTTAATTCTTTTCATGTTGGCAAACATAAAGTGATTATCTCATATGCATCTTTGCCGACTGCATTTTGTAAAAGTCAGCATGCGCAGAAATTCGCAACTGTGACATCGCATTGTAGAAATCGCTATAAGCTTATATTTTAGCAACGTGTATCCTAAGTTTTCGTCATTATTTCGACCTCTGGAGATATGATTTGGTCCCACCAGAGGTTGGATTGTAAGTAATGTGGTCCAAAACTATTACAATGAGCCAAATATATTCAACCGTCGGAATTCTGAATTTAGTGTTGACCTGTACTCCCAAGTTTTGCTTGTTTCTTTGTGCTTTTCTATTTTTGTTCTTTCAGTTTGCCTTCACGATACTATCTTCAGCACCATATCTGTCATTTGCTGACAGTATTTCGGAACACTTACAAAAGCATTCAGCAAGCATTTGCATGGACATCGAAATGCTCTACAATGACTGCTGGGACAGCCCCCCCCCAACCAACCTGTTAAGTGTTAGTTATATTTTGAATCCTGATTTCGGCTGATAGTTGAGGTTACTGATAACATTCCTGTTATTAACGTTGGTAATTATGACATGACGAGGACCATTATTGAGTCTACCAGCCGCTATGGCGGTCAACAACACGTTCAAATTAGGTTACTTGTTTTATATCTTATGGCACTTAAATAATAGTCAACTTGGTTATATTGAAGGCAATCTAACTATCGGCAAGTTAATTCGCTGGTTTAGTCTAATTATGGGCAAAATAGTGATGTAGTAATATATCAAAAGGGTACCACTTATCATGTAGTAGTGTGGTGTGCTACTTATTAGACCTTATATCAGCAGTACACAGACCAATATAAAAAAGCTAGTGGTGATGGGCTGATAAAATTCCGTGGGAAAAAAGACTCGAGACAAATATGGGTGAGTAGAACACAGCATATTGGAATGTTGAAAAGATAGTGTCTGCAAGTGTGGCTTTGTAAGGCTTGATATTTTTATCAATACCAATTGTAGTTTTTCAGTAAAGAGAATCCCTTCTATTCCCCATAGGTTTCCTGGATAATCATATTTCCTAACAACGTGGTATTTAAGCGAATGCTATCAATAAGACAGTTCATTAACCACTCGTAATGTGATTGTCGTTTACTGGTAAACACACTTAAATTCACATTCTACCTACTGAAGATTGGGCAACACCTCGAAATCCTACAAGGGAATCTGTACATGGTTAGCTCACTGGGCAATAAGTCAGCTTTTGTCTGTCCTGAGCTTGGTGATGATTCCTAGCCTCAAAACACGATGGGTTACTATGCATGCTTTAAGCCACAGTTAGATAATTTGATGAACAATATCAGGAATCAGTTCAGCCGACTAGTACTGGGTTGTCACGTCTCATTTTTGATCATTAACTTTTCTCACCTAAAATGTAAAATAAATCCAGTTCTGAAGCCACCGCATACTAAAAACCTAGACAAGTTCCAAAACAATACGTTAATTACAAAATCAAATAAACATTTGTAAAAGACTACCTGGTTAAAACTATGTACTTAACATCTTTCATGTAGTGACTCCATTACATGCCGGCTATCCAATGAAAACATTTACAATTAGCGACGGGTAACCTATTCATGTTATCAGTACACCCAACCATTGCACTCTCTTCAGTTTAGGTGTCTACACACCGAACCTGTAGATTCACCTTGCATATGGTGGATCGTGCTAAATGTTCGTATACTTTTACTTTGGTCATTTAGTGTTGTTCATAACCTGTCTACATCGCCTAACAAGACTGTATAAAATTGGATTCCCGTTATTTTTAGACTAAACATGAGTTAACACCAGATCCTTTAAATACTAGTTTCATTTCACAACTGTATTAATGAAATACTTTTACCGTAGGGTCCATAGAGACATGTTTGACCATATTCAATAATCACCACCTGTTTTAAGTGGTGAGGTCATTTAACTCACTGGATGGTAGGACTTCGAAAGCTATTAACAATCAAAAATTGTGCTTGTTTCCTGGAGTGTTTCCAAGAGCTTCAAATCACTTACATATTACTCATTCTTCTTTCCAAATCTGCATGAAGTATTTCTCAAACTTTCTCAAGGGGACACTTGTATTATACAGGATGAACATTAAGGTTATGCTAAATGATATCGACTGATTGATGTTAATCAGTGCTTTCTCATCGTCTCATCACTACAACATTGTTATATTTTTTTTACCTGCTTATAGCGGAGATTTTGTACATCTAGACATTCTTACTGACTTGTTTGTGTGAGACCAGTCCCACTTAAACTTGATGTTCTACTTAACAGCTATTAAATGCTGCTTCGAAATATTAGTCGATTCTCTTTATTTGATCGCATTGTTTAAAGTACCATTCATGGTAAATATTTTTTTTCTAGTGGAGATCAAAGACCATATAGTAATAACAAGTCACACTTTCAATTCCAGTTTAGATGTTATTTACCCATTGAGGATTCATCTGGGATAGGAATAACTGGGAGCGAATTAGAAACTGAAAATTGACTTTTGTAATGTGTCATAATTCATGCCATATCGAGACAAGTTTATAGGTTTGGAGAAATATCAGATGTGAAACAGTTCCTAACTTCTGTCAACCTTGCCATCTCAATATGTATGTTGTTTACCTTTATGTCTTCTTTACATTTCAAAGTATTCACTCTCTTTAAACGATTCAGAAAACCCTGTTACTTTATATCCTGTGTCGTAGTAAAAACTCAAAGGTGGGAATGTAACTTGGCAAAGTTTTGAAGGTTCATCTATCAAGCCATGAACCACACCTATTGTATCAAAGCTAGGTACACTAAGTCGGTAGGTGGGACAAGTTCTAACTCCATCACTCCGTCTAAAATCAACTACGTAAATCGATGTATTATATCTCCCATGAAGTCATGGTCCTTGATCTACTGTTTATGACATTCCATTGTATTGTTACCGGTTTGCATATTCAGTAGCCATAGTTATCTTACAATATTATTGTTTTGTTTCGTACAATCCATTCATTCTTAAGAACTGTTAGTAGGGCTTTCAAAGTTTGCTTATAATTCACTCATCAAATGTACCACTGGAAGTACCATTCTGATGTTTTGTTTGTAAGATAGATCTCAGTTATGATCTTCATGCCTCTTTATCTCTGAAAGAAAATCGTGTGTTTGTGTAAATAGATTTATTATTTACGTGTGAGTTACATTTATGAGTTAGTTGAGGTTAGTAAAGACTAGTAAAAGACCTTTGTATTGATTGCACATGGATAATGAGCGTACGTTCATAGTAAGACCAACTTTTTTGAACAATGTCAGCGAACCTGCTAGTTCACATTGGTTATAAACCATACATTACTGAGATCATTTAATACAACTGATCCCTACTATATATTTAAGTATGCGAAACGATCTTCCGGTTGCGGATTAACGAGAAGGATGATCACTATTTAGGACTATTTGGACCAACTAAAAGTATATTTTGTGTGTGCCTTCTGTTAAATACTTGTTCATACTTACTTTATTTCACAGTTCGCCTACACGATAACATTCAGGATGAAGGTTTTCATTATCTCGTATTTGACTTGTGAGTTTTATTTTCTATTCTTAGCTAAAGTTGATCTATTTCCTATGGTTTTATTGAACATTCCCTTTTTTACACTTAAGATACGCTTATACATGCTTTCCTGTTTATCGATCCACATTGTTGCTACCGGTATTAAGGTATTGATTGAACCTCAAAATTCGTTTTTATCCTGTTAATCAAGTTTTACATTAGTTATATATCTGCTTACCCCCACGAAAATAGCGTTCTTCTTGTAACATCGTTGGCTAAATCACTATTTTTTCCCTCTTGTCTTTGAAGTGCCTGTGCTACTCACACAATCACTAATACTAGTAGTAGTAAATGCAACCATGCTCTTCTGCTTTTGGCAAAGGATACTCGTAGATATTACAATAGATAAACAAAAATCATGCTTTGCGGATCCAAGACTGAGTATATGCACTCTTTAAGTAGAAGTCATATATTTGCAAGCAGATCATTAGAACCATTTTAAAAGACTGTTTAGTAGCTTGGTGACCACTTCACTCCGTAACCGCTCGCACAATAGATGACTCTTAGTGCGAAAAACTGCAAATGTTTGTTGAACTACACTTCCTTTTTCTTTGGGTGAATTGCGAACTCAGTGCTTAAACAATCTAATTTGATACAACCAAACACTATTCTTAATGTAAGTGAACTGCTAACCAAGAAAAGGATAACATTCCCAATCAGTACGCACCGATGGAAAATGTTCGAACCATTGAGTTTTAACTGTTAAACGTCTTCATTTGAATTTAACGATATATGATGCATATAAGGCTTGTAGGTGAAATTTTACTGTGCAGGTTAAAAATGTTTCGTAAACAAGTGCAAAAGTTAGGACTATTGGGTAAATGGCTAATGTTGAAAAACATTATATGACGTGAAGAAACCAATTCTCTTTTCTTTCTCCTCACCTAACATTCATCTTAACAATACGGCCAGTGGCTTTCTGACTACCTATCTGTTTGGCAGAAAATGGCTTTCTTGAAAACAAATTAGAAATTCAGTCTTGGAGGCGTTAAACTAATTTCAATGAAATAACATTTTGCGTTGATGCTGTTTCACTATTTTACCTTTTGAGGAAAATAACTAGTTACATATCATTATTATTATTTATTATTTGTTCCTAGTGGAACATAGGGATTCAGTAGCACGTCTGCATTCCACTCTCTTCTCTGCATTCTTTTGAACCTGGCTCCACGACTGTCCACAAGCTTTCATTTCTTCCTCACATGATCTCCTTCATGTCACCCTCGCTTCGGACGCCCAACTAGTCGCTTCCCCTTGGAGTTCCACTCGACGGCCTGGTCTGGCGCGTGATGTCCCCAAATGATCTCAGTGTATGCCTCATCCAATCCATCTCCACTTTCTTCTGCATATTTGTTGGGCGTTGTGTTCTTGGTTGGTTCATTGCCAGCCAGAGTTCCTTGTTGCTTATTCGTATTATTCTGGCCATCTGATCTTTAGTATCGAGGGTAGGCAGCTGTAGATGAGTGTTTATAGTTTGTTGGAAATGCTTTTCGTGACGCGCCAAGTTTCTGAACCATACATCAGCACTGACTTGATATTAGTGTTGAAAATCCGGATCTCGTTCTGTATGCTGGGTGGGGTGCAGTAGATCTCCACACTGATTTCAGGTTACTAAAGGCCTGTCTTGTTTTCCTTCCGATCCTATCTTTGACGTCCTCATCTGTGCCACCGCCGCCTGTTGCTAAAACGATGCCGCCTAGGTAGATGAAGGAGACAACTTCCTTTAGATTTCTCCCGTTGATGGTGATTGGTACTTGTTGTTGTTGGTTGGGTATCTTTTTCATCTCTGTCTTCTCCATGTTCACTTGAAGTTCCGTCTTCCTTCACTGCCTCTTCTGCCAATTTGTAAGTTTTCGCCTGTAGATCTTCGAGTTTGTGCCACAAGACATTAGGCATAAATCATTATCGGCGGCGAAATCCAAATCTCCTTCTGGGGTCTTTTCATCGGTCCAGCCAGCGTATGCTCCGCTTCTCGCTCCTCACAGTTTGATGCATGGTCCAGTTGACCACAATCAGGAAGGTCATAAGTGATAGTAGGCGACAACCTTGTCTTACTCCTGTCTTCACTTCCAAGGCATCACTGAGCTTTCCACTGTGAATCACTTGGCGTGTAGCGTCGTCATGTAGCATATCGCTGTTGAATGAGGTTGGTAAGTGTTTGTGTCACTAAAACCGTAGTGTTGAAGCAGCTGCCAAATTACTTGTCGGTCGACGCTGTCGAAGGTCTCTTCAAAATCGATAAAGTTGAGGTAGAGAGTTGACTGTCATTCTATGCTCTGTTCTATGATGATGCGTAGCGTTAGCGTTGCAATTTGATCTGCACATGATTTGTTCTTCCTGAATCCAGCCAGTTTCGGTCGTACTTTTGAATGCAGCGCATTTTTTAATCTCTCCAGGATGATCTGGCCTAATATTTTGCTTGCTTTGGGTGGACGGGGGTGTAGCATGATTCCTCGCCAGTTCTCGAAAAGACTTAGGTCTCTCTTCTCTGGGAGTTTGACCAGGTAGCCCTTCTTCCAATCTCTCAGGCAGTATCTTTCCCTCCTTCCAAGCGTTCTGCAGTAATGGTGTGAGCATGTCCGTTGCTGATGTCTCTGCGCCTGTTTTCAGTGCTTCTGGAGGAATTTCATCTGGTCCCGCTGGTTTCCCGGATTTCAGTAACCTTATGGCGTTCACTGATAGTTCTGTAGGTGGTCTGCTGGTGGTGATATTTCTGGACGAGTTGCAGGTGGTGATGTTGTTGTTGGTCGATTCAGGAGTTATTTGAAGTGGTCAGCCCATCGTTTCCTTTGTTTTCCCTCTCTCCTTGGTAACTAAGTTTCCTTCACTACCTTTTATTGGTTTCATCTGAGTTGATCTCTGTTTTGCCAGATGGTAACCTGGTTATTTGATATAATGTTGTCGGGTCTCTCCTACCTTCTTTTTCACTTGCCAGTGTGTCGTAGAAGTGTCCTTTGCCTTTGAGCGCAATCTTCTTCACTTTTTTGTCCAGTGTAGTGTTTTAAAGGTTGTGTTCAGTTCTTGTTTTCGTTGTTCATCCCTGGACTGGACTGCACTGTACTGGTTCATCTTCTGGTTCACCATCTTCCTTTCTCCGCTCTATCAGCTTCCACGTGTCCATCGAGATCCATTCCTTGTCTCGTGTCTTCTTCTTCCTTCCTAACACGGTTGTGCAGGTTTCCTTCCAGGTCACTTTCCTACAGTTTCAGTGTTCTCTTCCACATGGATTTCCTCGGGGATGTTGGTTAATGTCTGCCACTTTTTTCTGATGACTGGCTGACGTGAAGATGTCGTTTGTAGTTTCGTCCTTCAGTTCAGTTTCTGTTCTGGATGTTGAACTTGAAGTGTGGTCTATCACCAGCTTCTTTGAAGGCTTTCAACTTGATTTTGAAGGCAGATTGCTTGCACTAGATAGTGAGTGGTGTGAACCTACATCTGCTCCTCTTCTTGATATGATCTTGTGTCCAGCAGGCTTCATCTCCACTCTCTTGTGATTGGAATGAAGTCGATCTTATTTTGAGTGTAGTGTGTCCTGGTGTCTGGTGAAATCCAAGTCGCTTTGTAAATATCCTTGTGTTTGTACGCAGTGTATCCAATCACCAAACACTAAATGCTCAGAAGTCCGCAAACAGTTCTCCATTCTCATTCATTTCACCGGGTGCCTCTCTTCCCATGATCAGTTCTCTTCCTATGTTGTCCGCTCCCAGTTTGTTGTCCATGTCACCCATTAGAATTTTGATGTCACCAACTGGAGTGTTGTCCAATAGTGACTGCAGTTGTCTATAGAATTCCTCCTTCTTCTCTTCATCTGCTTTATTTGTAGGTGCGTAGCGTAACATTATATGATTGTAACCTTCCTTCCTTTTGATTTGAATCTTGCTGTCATGATCCTAATGCTGGAGTAGATTGGTTCCGACTGCACGAGACCCTTCGATGTTGTTGGGATCAACATCATTATAGCCACTTCCTCAGTGTGCTCGTGTTTGTCATCTGGGTGACAATATCGGAGTCGATTATTGACTCTCCATTTGACAGTTTGGAGAGTCCGCTTCCATTCCATCTGCAGATTCCTAGCACTTCTATGCCATACCTTCTCATCTCTTTTGCAATCTCGGCAGCCTTGCTAGGTTCATACATGGTGCAGACATTCCATGTTCCCATCCTTACTTTCGCTTTCATCGAGAAAGAAAAGACACATCAGCGAAATTGGCTTCCCAAAGGCTTTCTCCAACCGGGGTCATTTCGTCTCTTCGATTCCAGTGAGGAATAAGTTTGTTTTTATATTTTGTAATTTCTTTGTGCTTTGAAGTTTGTTTAGCAATTGGATTTGTTTTCCGGGATAGGGTTGCTAGCCCTATGCCCAACCTCCCCTGTTTATCCGGGCTTAGGACCGTCTGGTAACTAGTGAACTAGGTTGTAAAACTAAGGAATGTAGAAGTTCAAACTTAAGGATACTTAGGGAAGCGTTACCACCAAATCAAGTTAAGCTGGTGCGTTTATTTGATAATTTGTATTGAAGGTTTTTTAATTGTCCCATGTCTTTCATATGAATCACTCTAATGTTGGTTGAGTATTAATTTTGGAATCATCCGCTGTAGCACAGATTTTAATGTCGTTTGATCATTTTATTCATGTGTAATGACTTCATATACTCTGGACACTGAGAACATCTCTTTCCAAATGGTTGTTTGGTGTATATGTGTCGAAGATCTATTAAAGCAACGCTTACATTACTAAAATGTTTGCTTCTTTTCCTAACAACAGTATACAATTGCTTGCAACTGGTCATCTACAATTACTTTTGATGTGTTAACAGGTTCTTACGCCATCTGTTTACGATATCACTGTTTCTCACAATGGTAGAAATTTTATATCTTAATGTGTGAAAGTTCCTTTGTATTGCACAGATAACGACTCCTTAGTTTATGTTAATCCTTTGAAAGATACTGATATTTGTGGTTTAAAGGGTACAAGTACATGACCCAATCTAGCATAGTACTACTACTACTAATAATGACAATTGCTTTATTCCAAACAACACATGTCGTACAGTATGGAATTCTCAGCATGTAATGGTTCAGAAAATTCAATCCCTTTCAATATCTTTTAGCGAAACAATCACTGCATTTGATAATGTTAAGAACAATATTGATAAAAGCCACAATGTGAAACAGGCACCTGGTATGACACTAGCGTCTGGTTTGGACCGGTGAATTAATAGAAAACAGCATGATTCTGGTGGTGGTAGATAATGCAACCAGTACCGAAGTTTGCAGTCCGACATAGTTATCCAAGGAATAGTAATGTACCGTATTTTTGTGCATTTATAAGCCCATCTCTTACTGACATTTCTTTTTTTCTTTGTCTTGTCAGCTTTAAAAACGACAGTTTGAAACCATTTCATAAGTGTACAAGAGCACATGACGCGTTTAAAAAACATTTAAAAGATTAAAACAAAATGACGGGAAAGAATTTGATGAAATGTATTCAGCGGAAAGTTTTCGGTAGCCCAAAGTTTAAACAGGCCGCCCCTAGCAATGAGTTCTTAATTATCTCTTTTCACAACACAGGCTTAATAGAATGGGATAGATTAGGATTCCTTATCAAATTTCGTTTTGCGTCCATAAATGCTCTGCAGTTATGGCTCATCGGTTTAGGTGGTCGACTTCCCATTATTGGTTCAAGTTCGGTTCCAATTACCAAGGTTTAAACAACTAGTTAATACCACTAGCCCTTGTGCGATACATGTCATTTATTGTCTAATAGCATAGAGTTTCTGAGCATTGGTGATGATTGGCAACTGGATGTCAAGAAATCCAGATATACTTGAAATTATCGTTTAATTAGTGATTTTACCAAAGTAGATTTTTGCTCGGTACTTGGGAGAATGAATTAAATTTACACTTCTCTCGTATTTGCGCACTGTGGTCAAGTGTAGATGTCTCATGAGCTAAAATCCATTTAACCTGTTCGCGTTTGTCACAGGAAATAGTAATACAACTTAGTAGCGATGTGCAGGTTTTTGCAGTAGATCATTACGTGAGAGTCTTTAATACTGTTTGACAACATCAACGTAAGCAGGGTTTTAAATCATGATCCACTTCAACCAATGAGCGAAGTCACGTTTCTGAGATTGTCAACACTCACACAGTAGTCTCGTCCAATCACACTTGTTCTCAGTTAATCCAAGTTTCATTTTCTGGGCGCATGGTAATAGCAAGTAGTAAGTTTCAAATGGCTGCACTAAACTGCATTCATACTTGATAAGAAGTTACTTGCACCTAGTTTTATTAACATTTAAAATTACTTGTCATTTTCCTCCTGAAGTTGTATTAAAACTAATGAAATATTTTTATAGGGTGACTGGTGGTGAACTGTTTGAGGATATTGTCGCTCGAGAATTCTACAGTGAAGCGGATGCTAGGTGGGTTTCTTTCTTTAATTAGTTAGTGAGGTTATAGTTTGTGAGTTTTAAAGTGGATTTTCCACATAAACTTTCGAGCTAAACTGGTTTCCCTCTTTATAATGTTACTATTTGTCTCACTCATAGACTTCATGTTGTATAAGCGTTTTTGAAAGTGATAGAAAGAGAATATCCAACTGTTAGTGCTGGATCGGTGAATACGAACGGTTCACTTAGGGGGGCGGTTGCAAAACATTGTTTCCAAACCTATGGCACATATGAAATCTAGGATCCAAAACGGACGAATGGCATGTGAACCTAGTGGCTACCATGAGGATGCAGCACTTAACTTTGGATCAGATTTTAAGTGAAAGGTTAGATGATTGATCCCACAAAGCAGCTGCTTGCTTCGATTCGAGCATCTGGGCAGTACCTTAGCCTACATACAACCTGAGTTTTTAGTTTTTTTAAACACTCAGCAACCTTGTGCACATCCGTGGAGTAGGAGTGGAGTGGAGCCACACCTATTGTGCCAGGGCCAGTGATACTATCTGGCTGGAGCGGGGTTTGAACCCGTGATCAACTGGTTGATAGTCGTCTCCCCAAACCACTGGGCCACAGCTAGACCATGTGAGATATTCTAACGCTGCAATGAAATTTTTAGGACCCTCACCTAAAATCGGCCTTTTTTAACCAGTCGATAAATATGGATTCGCTTGTTCTCATTATATTCTTGTTGCCATCTTTTAACTCTGAACTGTTCTGTTTTTTTTTTCATTTTCTAATCATTATCTCATTACCACTTCCTATTAGTTGACATTCTGGTCTGCTTAAGTTTTGGGTCGTTAAACAATAAACTTTCTACAGATGTTTTTCACCATAGTGGGATTCAACTATTCTAAAACCTAATGTAACGCTTAAACTGACTGCCTTTTCGGCATTATGTTGATACATATTGGGCAACAGATACGTTTAACGAAGACTTGGTATGCTGTTTTTCAAAGGTCTATATACATGGTGCCTGTGAAGCGATTCGAATAACTTCTTCATCTTTCAACTTGAAAGCTGCTCACCTGGGACTCTGTGGCATCGGCAACTGGGTTTGCTGGCATCGGCGTCACATTAAATGCTACAGTTGAAGCTGCACTAGTCAACCGGATCAGTATTAACGGTCATTTGCATGCTGTTAGGCCAAAATTTTGGCTAGAATAATGAGCAACCGCCAAATGAGAGTACATCTTTGTAATCTTTGTCTATGCTGCAACATACTGTAAACCCTAGTGGTCAGAATGTGCTAGTTAGGTGTTAACGGAGACTGCATCTGACAACTTCCAAACGCTGTCCCAGCTCATCTGAGTTACTGGCAGTAAGAATTCATATAATAGTGAGACAATGAGTGACACAGATCAACAATCTTGAGAGATGCTTAGAATACTGGTCGAATCACTTCTAATTTATTTGATCTATTGCTCTAGCAACTTACATCCTATTCTCCATGCTCATTTGTCGCTGACCCACCTAGCTCAGTGAAATTCCATAAGACACTTCAAGTACTGAAGCGCTATAAACCACCTGGTTAAGATGACTTACCTTTGACTCCTTTTTTAGGTCAGACACGCGACTGTATTTAAGAGGGGTGACAGTGTTTCATCACTCTGAAATGAGCCCATTGTCATGCGCATATTTACAGGATCTTTTATGTGATAGTCATTGGGGTAACTGTTTGCAACCAGTCGCTTTTAGACTATTGGTTGCCTTTGTATTGTGCAAACATTCCAAAATAAAAGACGTGATTTGCTGGGAGCAGACCGGGTTTCGTTTTAATTGTGGATGCATTGATTACATGTTCACCCAGTCAGATACCCTAACATTGTCACGTGTATATTTTGTATTGTATCAAATGTTCGTCAACGATGTCCACCCTCCCCATTCTTATTTCATTTAACATACATGTCCTTATAGTGGTCACCCTCTTCACGTCTGGTTTTAAAGAAATTGATCTTGTTATATGAGATTACTTACTAGACGTAGAGTACGCGTATGACATAGTCCTGTTAGGTGAAGAAACTGACAAAATGCAGAGTCCTAGACACCTTGAGTAGCGATTTAAGATTGTTTCGGATGCGTTTCTTGTCGCCTGAATGCTATTTGTTGCTAAAGAATTGGTGTATGTTATTTCTCGAAAAATAGGCAGTAAAGTAGTTGATGGTTGTAAACTCTAGGGGATGTCTAGGAATCGATGTCAGTGATTCAGATGCATCCATACCTTACTTTTGTCCTTACTGATGTATGGCATTTCGTTATTTCTCGTAACTTCTCTCCACTTTTTAAGACTTTCTTCGACTTTTGGTTACATCATTTCTATTTCACTATCTTGACTTGCCGGTATGTGGCGTCGTAACGTGGACCATTATGGAGTAATGTTAGGTTACATGTTGATGCTGATTAATTGTTATACCGAGTTCGGGCTTAAATAACTGCTGATTGCACAACACACTTTTGCCTAATACTTGCAATTGTTCATTCCGACGACGTTTCGTACGGAAACGTTATAATTTTATCGTTCCATTAATTCCTTACGTTATTGTCCTTCTATCTTATTATTTTTTACAGCAATTGTATGCAGCAAATCATTGAAAGTGTAAATTATTGCCACCAAAATAATATTGTGCATCGGGACTTAAAGGTTAGTAATAATATCGTCTCTGGTATATTTCCACATTCAGCAAACAGCTTCTATGTTAATGACTGCTTGTGTCCACCTGCTCACCTATACATCTTTAATGTTAAGTCTTATCTTTTTTGGTGTCTATTGGTTTTCCTTAAAACCTATAATTGTTCTTTTAGTCTTAAGAAACGCATCGTTTAGCAAATGTTCAAATTGGATTAAAAGTTTTGTTTGCGCGCTACTGTAACGTTTTATCGTATGACAGCAACTTTTTTCATCGTCAAGTCTGTTTGTTTCCTTTTGTGTTTCTGCGTAGAAATATCATTTATAATGTTTTTTTGAACACGGCATATTACAAGTCACGATTTTCTTCCCGTAAGATAATTTGTTTTACGGAAGGGTTCCAAGAAAGCACCTTTTTCGTGCAACCACTTACCATCAGAACAACAGTAGATAAGGTTTCATTATTGTTTTAGTATTATTTCGCGATTCTGATAGGTAAATTAGTGCAGATAGTTTGATTTACTTTTCTCTAGTTCTCATTCAAATACATTTTCGCGACTTAGGTACAAGAGCACGATGTACTTCAGCTATTTTAGTTATTTCATTTAGCGGCAATCAATTTTGCATACTACAAGACACAGCATCCTCAATTCACTGAAATTATTGATTGCTGTCTAAGTAGTTTACCAGAATCAACTGTAGTAGAATTCTTGTGCTTCTTCATCAGTTTATGTATACTGTAGCATTGAATTCCAGTTGAAAGTTGTTTCATCGTAAAGCAACATTCGTTGGTTTAAAAAATCGAATTTGAACCAGTGAGTCAGGGTTCAATCCCCGGTCCATAGGCCAAGGTTTGTGTAGTTAGACGGCATTACTAGCCCTCACACAGTAGATATGGCTCACTACCTCGTGCACTTGATTGGTGACTTGCATGTGTTCAGCAAAGTTAGTTGTTCACTCCTCAGTGTTAGCAGTAGTAAGAGAGTGTAAACACTACCAGTCTTTGTAAATTTACTGAAGTTCAGGTATCCCTATACTTTTTTGAGTAAAGGTACTAAAGTTCAGTAGCGAATCATATATCTTCACATTTTTCTGCGATAATAAAGGAACTTGAGTACTGACAGGGTCGTGAGAGCAGTTGATATTTCCCGGCTGCCCACAACATGGAAGGTTATTTCTTCTTGAGATAACTCCCAAAACATGTCAGTAGTAATGATGTGTGACCACAGGAACCAAGTAACGTGTGCTTAAGGCTGGTCATACATGACCTTTCTGGAAGTTGCAGATTTTTGTTTGCCGTGAATCCAGCCATAAACCCACACCACCTGCATCGAAAAGCCGAAGAGTTGGGAGTTTGCTACTTCTCGGATTGATCTTCTATAACCCACCTCCCCATAAGGAAGGCAGCATTAGTATTGTACTTTTAGTTATCCTTGGGAACACCTTACTGAGGTTACCCCCATCCCTTCGCCCAGCAGACAGTAAAAATTCACCTCCGGACCCCCATCATAGTGTAGCGGTAACTGCTCTTCCTCCTAACACCACCCAAGTGACCTATTATGTGTGGTAAAACCTCAAGGAAGCAAGTGTTCCAACGTCGTATCGCGTTAGGTCATTGAGATATGTAAGCACCACTTCAAGGTAGCAGCTATCGATCCAATGATAACACAAATCCTCTTCTGAAATCCGTACTGTGGTAGTGCCATGTGTAGTTGACATTGTTAGACAAAGGTTACTCAAGGTTGCAAATCGTTTTGATCCATTTTAGATTCTGCATGCCACATGCGAATATTCAGGTTGCATAAGTTTTATTGTTGCTAAGGCTAATTTCTTCAAAAATGCAATTACGTAGACAATGTAAGTTTGACGACTACTCTTTTCTAAAACTCAACCCAGTTAGTTACTTTTTACTAATCATTGTTTATTTTAACTTCTTATAATCCACATATTTCGTACTGGTTGGTTCATATGATGAAGTATCGGTGAAATATTCTGATTTCTGAGGAAATTACTGTTGATATTGTAATGATTCTTTAATCACTTTTCGGTACACTATCTGGACATGTTATACCTTCAAAGTCTATGTCTTATCCTAAAAAATAGCTTCTAGTCAAACTAAATGGCCATTTCTTATCGTATCTGTTATTGTGCATACTGTCGACTCATAAAAACTCTTCTATGTATCTTCATTTGAATGGTGTTGGCGTGTATGGTAATGGTTATGGAAATCGCCTACCAGCAGACAATGGATGCGTTCGATGTTATAACTAAAAATATATTTAGCTGCACCAAAATTGATCGCAAAACTCCACATAACAGTACATTATCTCAAGTTACTACGCAGTAGAACGTGAAGCGAAATTTGGAAAAACGAGTGATTTCAACAGGAAAGAGATAAATCCAGGAAAAACCTGTCATAAAGGTGCATCAGTTTGATTTGCCATACTTCACAACAACATGTAAAGAAATGGGGAAAGAATGGCACTAAATTAGACAAAAGTGCAACAAGGGAGGGGGAATAAATAATAGGGTGATAAAAATGTTTGAAACCTTGACGCTGATAAAGAGTACATAAGTCTGCACCATCGTGTCCGATTTTGTGGCATATCACTAGCAGTCTACAACCAATGATTCTTATCGTCTCAAGGACCCTGATCAGGGAGTCTAGAACTCACTAAAAGAGTCACACTAAGTATGGCGTACATATCTATCCAAGTCACCTCATTCGGTAATGGTTCTCAGCCTCGTCGATTGACTTGCCCTCCTCAACTAATAGCCTCCGCCTAACCTGGACATTGCTCGCACAGTCATTCCAGTACATTAACAATACTACGAAGATACATATGATCGAAAAACCGTCAACTTATTCAAATCAACTTCCTGTGGCCTTAAGACATAGGGGGACTACTGCACAGTGTATTCGTCTTGAGTAACTGCATATCTCACCAAGTAACCAAGAGCTCTATGACCAGTCACTTCCAACTGAAAAAGCTGTTAAGATGTATTTCAGATGATCATTGCGTTATGACTGGGACGAGTAGATTTAATCTCACTGAAAGTCACCAACTTTTTATTTACAAAGTTCTAGATGATAGGAACTAGTCTCTGTAAAAAAGGTCTTGGTGATTTGTCTTCTTCTAGGCAGTTCCTTTAATTGACGTAAATAACTCCCAAATAATGCATAATGTCGGTACCTTTTCGATCTTTTTCATGCTCTTCACACTCCACCCCACTTGACCATTACAAAAGGTTGTAGTCAATTTACGTTTAAGCTACTCTTACTCGCTGTCCTAACCGGATCGAATGGGTCTTCTTGCACTTGTCGTTTTGGATGAGCTTTCAGAAATTCAGTAGTTTTTACCAACCTTTGGAGTTGGATTATTCACTGTTTTTACCACTGTTTCTACGACATTGAATATTACACCAGGTTCCATCAGTATTAGAAATACCTACCATTTTCAAATGAATGCTTAGCTACCTCTATTCTAAGTGAACACTTGACGTTCTAGCCTTTCAGCGGAGCACACACAGGCTTAATTAATTTTGTTACCTGCTCTAATTTAGGTGCAAATACACCCGTACCCATAGTAACGCATGTTCAAAGTCCATCTAAGCGCTTCATAAAGAGCGGAGGTCCCCCACTAATTGTCCCCGCTTATGACTTGTAGCTGTAGGGTCCTACTGTACCTGGTGTTGGGTTACATCAGGTCTCTTCCTATGTCTGAAGTTAGTTGTTGGTTAGTCACCACATAACCCGTAGATACCCCAAGATGCATTGTCGATTGGCCTAAATTTCTTACCTGACTGTTGAAGTCATTCCCTGCTATAACCATATCGCAGCGTTTGGCTTTGTATAAGAAGATAGAATTTGTTGGTAAAACATCCTTTTCATCATTTAAACTGGAGTCGATGAACCCACAGGCGGCGTCTACAACTAGGTACGGATGAGTTTCCTGATCTCCTTTAGTTTTTAAAACTCCATTTAACAAGATGGTGCACAGATGACCGTCGACCGGTATCCAGTTCAACAGTTCACTTTCTGCTCAATTGTGTTAAGCGATGTCTGCACCAACGAGTTTTTATGAGCTAACCATTAAACCTCCAATAGACCCACAAACGGATTTTGAGAGATTCACCCCTCTAGTCAGGCAGACCAAAGTGAATAACGATACTTGAAGCCTTTACGGGTGTCTCAGAAACACAATATAAATTCATGGCACGAGATTCAAAAGTTTTGATAACTGGAGATGACAATGTAATTCAGACATTGCAAAGCGGGAAACTAGCAGCATGGGTTTAGGGAACTGAGAATTGGGTTTTACTGCAGTAGATCTATGGTAATGGGCACGTAGTCGAAATCAAAAAATCAACACCAACGTAGGACTAGGCATTACTGCGTAACAGTCCAAGTTGGGCGCAAAGCAAAAAGTTGAAGAGAGTTTAAGTGAATTTCCGTAACAGGAACAGATAGTGGATGCAAAAGATGAGACAAACGTATCAAAGGTTATAGTTGGTTGTTGTTTGTATACTGCTTGAAGTTTGCAGAAAAAGAAGCATGTAGTTGAGGTCGGTCACATTCCACTATTTGGGAAGATTATGGTTTGAAATAAATTGTGTTGCATCTGACCAATAAAAACCCCGTACGCAATCCACTGAAAAATCTCAGGGCACGGAAAAGTATTCTATTTTTAGTACCAACCTTTTCATAAAGAGAACATCAGCATGGAATTCTGACCATACATAAGAAACACCTCACTCTTGTCACATCCTGTGCGGACAGTAGTGCAATTCCACCCTTGGTTTCCCTGCAAAGTGTAAATTACTTACACGGTGGCGGTAAATACAGTTTTACCACCATACAACTGCTTTCTGGCTTGTTAGGACCCGAAAGAGCAATTGCTTCATCTAACATGACTGAGTGGGTCATTGTAATAGGCAATATTAACCACTACGTCAGCTCTCTGTCGGGCAACAGAAACTAGAAAAATGAAACAGGTAGAGCCATTAAATCCGGATTAACATGTGTTCTCAGGGTAAAAACTAAACAGATATGTTTCGTCGTTAATAACTGGTTTTTTGCGACTTTTACCTAGCGTAGTTTTTCAGCTGCTGTACTCATTCCCCTACCTGCTGTTTACCCTCTAATTAAATTTTAGAATGGATTTTTTAAATTGCTTGGCATACCTGAGTACCGAAATAAATTGGGTACCTAGGTTTGTGTTCTAGAGTGTTAGTTCATGATGCAACATATTCATTATCGTTCTAATGTAATATTGTTTTGAATTACTACCGACATTGACCAATGAATAATACTTAAAATGTGTTATAAGCTATTTCATCTGCTAGGACATGACAGTATTCACTGAGAGGTATGTAAAATTCAGTTTCCTGATGTTAGCTGACAGAGTTAGATTGCGAAATGAGACTATCAGTATGAATCTTGCCTGATATAAATTTGCCTAAGTGTTTTCATTTATTTTGAAATCGAAGTAACTTGCTGTATGTCAAGATTTCTTGTTTCTTATTGGACTGAGATCGATTATCTTGGCATTTACAGAATCCATTATTGCAATCACCCCCTTCCATCCTTATTAGTTTGTCCTAACTGAGTTTTGTTCACTTTACTCACTACCAATTACCTCTTATACAGATTTCTCACCAATACTTCCATATGCCTGCAGAATTTCTGTTTGAGTAGCGGTTTGATTCATAACGTGACTGGTTTTCAGGATAACCCATATAGTAAAGCATTGCTGTACAAACGACATTACCTTTTTCCAAGGAAAATTATTTCCTCGCCTTTTAAAGTGTGCTCATATTTTACTGTATTAACATGATATCTGTTTCATGATGAATTCACTTTTTGTTTGTTGAATCAGGTAGGTAGTGGTAAATTCTCATTGTGATTTTTCTCATTCTGTTCCATTTTTAGCTAGTCTAAAGCATATCAATCGTTTTTAAAATCAATCTTGTTTTACAGCCAGAAAATTTGTTACTAGCCAGTAAATCGAAAGGAGCTGCAGTGAAATTGGCCGACTTTGGTCTGGCAATAGAAGTTCAAGGTGACCAGCCAGCTTGGTTCGGTACGTTTTTCAAGTTAGATACCTTGTTCGTATATGTTTCCGTATTTGTATATTAAAGACGATAAAGGAAAATTAGCCACATCAGTTGCACAATTTATAGTCGGTGAATTTATGTGTTGGACAACAGATACTATAGATGGATGTTAATTTGCGCCACAGTTAAGGTGAATTATACCTAGTCGGCCAAATATTTTGCATTATGATTAGTGAATGGAGTCTTAGGAATACTGCAACTCAGTGGCTTAAGAGATTACTACACATCATTCATTGGCATTCTCATTTTGGTGCCCATATTCCTTTTGTTGTTAAAAAGTAATATGAGCTTTTCTGAAGAATATTCTGTGACTATTTCTCCTTCCATGGTCACTATTACTCTTCATCTCTCCTTTTCTCATCATCTTAATGTATTGTTTTTCATAACTCACTTCCTGGTGTCTAATTTTACAAGAATTGTGTTGAAGTAAGTACACAAAAATAAATGGTGCAGTTCACTTCCTTCCAATCATAATTAAGATTTTCAATAATAACTTTACAAACCGTCACATATTTGTCATTTATTTATTGCTAATAGTTTTCTACAACCATTTTTCTGAAACCATCTACTGAACTGTGCTTGAGACGTTCTCCTGGTGGATTTATATTTGCCATTGTCTTTACCTACTTGCATGACCTTTTTTCGTCACTACATGGTTGAAAAAGTATTCTGTTCGTTCACTTAAATTATTATTGTTTCCAGTCCGTGTATACCTCACAAAATAGGGTTTTCTTTTGTTAAATAGACATTTATTACCACATTACTCTATTTTTTATATCCTGTGGCGATTATTTCCCATACTTACTCTTCGCACTCCACGCTTATCTGTTGTAAGATGGGCTTTGTATATCTTGTGGTGTATGTGAAAAGAACCAATAAAGATGGATACAGCTTCATGTATCGCTTTTATCTCTTAAAGCGTATTTCTATGCTTGTTTTTCAACGACTTTTGTTAACTCCCTTCTACTGTTTATCTGAAGAGAGATAATTTTGATTTAAATGTCTACCTATCACCAAATTTAACTGTTTCTAAAAACTACTGGGAAGTTACGTAAAATAAACTAAAAAGTATTTGTCCTTACATTGTGCTACACACATTGAACCGTATCAAGGAAATAATGCACTATTTACGTTTTTGTGCTGTTTATTTACCAAGAAAGTCATTTTGTTTTGTAATATCTGTGACTGCGGAACCTTATCACTTTGATTCTTCCTTATAAATAGTAGGGAGTTGTAGCTCACTGGTCACCGGTTTGAAAACCATCCCACCTATCGAGGTTTAGGTAGACAGACATGTAGTATCATTAATCCTCACACAATAGGTGTGGCTCTCTGCCTACTGCACAAGGTTGCTGAAAGAGCTTCAGTAGTGCGTAGGTTCTACTTTCATGCCATTACACCTTACTGATCAGCATCATCCCAGTTGGAAATGAGAACTTTATTGATGACATTTTGTTGTATTTAGAAATAGAAAAGTATACTTACCTACTGTTAGTGCCAGTAAGTCCTAGCCTACTTCTTGCTTTTCACAAGTGAGCGTGTAGTGCTGCATTTTTGTGTATCATTTGACATGAAATCTCACATAATTTTCTTTGTTATCTCATAGGATTTGCCGGAACTCCTGGTTATCTTTCCCCAGAGGTTTTGCGTAAAGAACCGTATGGCAAAGCAGTAGACGTATGGGCCTGTGGTAAGCATTAGTAACCTTTAGGGGTTTCATTGCTAAGTCACTCTTTTCTATTCATTTCGCGTACCTAGTTTGGTGATTTCAAGTTTCAGGATACAAAGTGACTTCCCGATTTTCATCATATTAACTATGCGTTATGATAAACTTTTATTTGCTAAGAAATTTGATTTTCATTTCAGCTACCTATAACTTGCACAGAAATCCATGGCTTTATCAACAATATTTTTATTCAAGCTAATTCTGCAAATCAGTCGTTTAAGTAGATTTTCTGACAGCGCTTCACAAAAGATATCCACTAAAGTATTTCTTTCTAAATGTTGTGTTTCACACTATGTCAATGCATAGTCTAAATCAGGAAATTAACAGTTCAATTACTTCCATGGAACTTACTTGAAATAACATCATCTTGGAGAAAGTTTCTTACGATTTACTCATTAAAACGTTGGAAATGTTTATTACTTTATAGGCTTTTATGATTATATAATTGCATTTGAAACGTGTAGGATTGTAAACTGTTGCAAATATAGTATAGCTCAACTTCATGTATTTCTTGCTGTACTACTATGATTTGATTTACTAGCATTTGAAAAAAAACTATTATGACAATTGTGACTCTCATGTACATTAATGGTGACATGTTTTCCATAAAACAAACTCTTTAGCATGGTTGCCTTTCCAGTAAAATCATAAGTTTTCATTCATATGTTGATAGTAAATAATTGTAACTGCTTTATGAAAAAAGTCACATGCAATGCGTTTGATAAATTCCTAATGTTGTCATTTTCCTTACGGAATTATAATTTATAAAACTAAGCGTATCAGTTTTTGTGTGCAATTTTCATCGGCATATCACTTAGCAGAAATAATTGAGCGTTGTGTAATGATTTTATCGATAGTCTGGATATTCTCAATCGGTATTATTTTTTTCGAAGAGCAATGTGTATCTCGTATGTAACATACCATTTCGTAGTGTCGAAAGTTAGTTTGTGTATGTGTAGATATTTTTCACATATATGCTTTTTAGTTGCACTTTCCATAATCTGGTAGTGTTAGTTGATCAACGCACACCACAATGACGGATGAACAACACAATGACCCCGATATTCATATCACGATGTCCTATATCACTTAAAAATTGATGCTTTTTAACCTACGAAATCAACCCCGAACCCTCGCACATAAGTGCATCGGTTCAAGTTGCTAGAATTCACAATAGCATGCAAACGACGGGTGAATAGGATGAGTGGTATTGAAGTAGACAAAAGTGTATGAGAGGAGAACAAATTTGAAAACTGAAGCTTAGCGAAAGTGCTCAAACTTTACAATATGTCAAAAAGTAACTACATCTGTGGTGTTGTGACCGATTTTCAGTCATATCACCAAGACTCTACAGTCATAAATTCTTGTTATTTTGAAGACACCAATCAGCCAGTTTGTGCCTGTTTACACAGCTGAAATTAATAGTTACAGAGTCGATGAACTGGCGTTTCTTCATGTTCTGACCAACCCTATCTCACACTGGGTAACGTTGTGGGTTGATGTCGGTGGTGAACCGACATGCCCAGCCCATATCCAAGCCAATTCATTCAATGAGGGTTCCCACTCTCATCGACTTGGTTGTGTTGCCTGGCATCTTTCGCTTAACCTCTAAATTTCCCATACAGTTATCCCATCATACGTGACCAATGAAATGATAACTCTTGTTATCACAAACCTGTAACTTCTTCATATCTTCTACATTGAAATGCCATGTTTCATTGTCGTATAATACGACGGAGCGAACTGCAGTGCAGTGTACTCTTCCTATAATGGGTTGTTATATATCTCGGTGGCGCTGGAGATGACGTATGTTGAAAAAAGTGCTAAACCTGGGATTTGTATCCAAGTTGGGATTTCTTCAGCAACCAGCTCGTTCGTGCTGATGCAGATTCTCAAGTGAAGTATTCAAAGCATTCTACCTCTTAACTCCCATACTTATCCTAAAACCGTGAAATAGCTCCAGACCGTTCCTGAAGCTTCATCTTACTTTTCATAAGTGGGAAACATATGCCAAACACACATATCTACTCGAGGCTTTCAAAAGGCTCTAGAGTTTGTCAATGTCTTTACCTAAGAGGACTGATTTCGTCTGCATACTCCATGCTAGCCAGATGCTTTCTATGTCCACTATGTCCATAAGTATGACTATGACGAAGTTACTCTGAAAGGTGATAGTAGACATCTCTAGGGGAAACAACTGGTCATCGTCACCTCTCATGACAACTACCCATAATCCGTTATGTGGCTGCATGAGTTCGAGAAGAGGGCTTTGATTAGCGTTATATACTTGCTTGTTCCTCCTTTCACGGACACTGCCACAACACCTCTCAGTTGATGGCATCGAAACCGCCTTCAGGTAAAGAAATATGGTAAATGTCAGGCGCCAATGTGTATGTCTGTGTTCCATAACCTGAAAATTTTATCAAAGTGCCTTCATCCAAGCCTGAAACCTACTTGGTTTTCTCGACGTCGGATAACTATGCCCTCTGGAATCTCGGACACAGTGCTAGACCAACTGATTCCTGTATGGTTCTATTGGAGTCCAAACAGGTACTTCAGGAAGAGCATCGATTCTCCAACGATGGCTTATACTAGTATGGTCTATCCGTGTCCATTGTAGGTTTGATGTTAGTGGACACTGTGAGACAATTTCTGTTCTTATACTTGAAGTTAATGCTTGTAAAAAATAAGTAATTATCAGAACAAAATTGCAACTGACGATCATCCTTATTGGTTCATTGGCACCGGATGCCATAAATACCTCCGATTGGTTCAACTTACCCACTTGAGCGTTTATGTTACCTGCTATCATAACTATGTCTGATCGCTTTACTTAATGTGGTGAAATTGACAATTTTTAGTAGAATTGTTCGCATCGTCCAAACTACAGTTGGTGGGTGCGTAGGTGAAGATTATGAATAGACATCGACATCACGACCCCATGCCTATTTCTTACGGATCCATCCAGTCGGACAGCTCATGCAGACAGCTGTTGACTGATAATCAGTCGAGATATGTGTTTTCTACTGAGAACTTGATGTTATAACTACACTTGTGAGTCCACGTAGGCTAGTCATCGAACCTCCGGACACCCGTTAACTGGACTTTGTTGATTCACCACAATGACCAGACCAGGTAAGTCTAATAAACAGCATGCATATATTGCTCAAGACCCCAAAGTTTTGGTAACAGACACCTGTTATCCGATCCAACTTAAGTTTGAAACGTTAAAAGCTTTGATATGAAATAATGACGGGATTTTGGGAGACGAAAAATGGTTTTCCGATGGTTTGAATCGTTGGTAATGGTCGCTGAGTGAAAGGTTGAGAAAGTTGTAAGAAGTCCAATAATTAGTACCAGAAAGTGAAGGTAAGAGTAGGAGGAAAAAAATAAAGAGAGCAGGTTAGATCAAGCTGCGTTTTGCATTCTGCTGGAAGCATCCTGGCGATCAGTACCTCATCGCCTCCACACCAAGGAGGTTTTTCCCGCAAGGGTACCTGAAAAAGAAATAGATTTGCGTGACCACAGTGCTCATGAAGCCTTTATTGAGGCCGCTCACACAACCGTATTGCGATTGTTGGTTGAAAATGTGAGTTTGATATTCTTTGGATTGATCTCTAACCCCCCTTTCTACAAAAAAAGTAGTATTGGTATGGTGCTTTTAGTCATCCTCGAGAAGAAGCTTACTAGTGGTCACCCCCATCCCTCCACTTAATAAATGGTAAGACTTCGCCTTCGGACCGCCATCATAGCGTATTACATTATACTGTAACGGTTACTACTTTTTGTTTTATCACTCTCACTACCTAGGTGACCTATCTTGTATAGTAGGACCTCAAGGAAACAATTATCATACCACCATATCTCGTTAGGTCATTGTGGTATGCAAGCCTGCTACAATATCAAGATGGCCCCTGTTTGTCGGGAACACTTTTTGATGCTCAAATTAGACTTTCGACTTCGTAAATGAGATGTCAATCGGGAGTTGAGTGGCCTATCTGTAGTCTATAACGTCAACATCGAGGATATATGTCCAATTAAAGCGTAAGTTTCTCTGAAGTTGCAGGAACGCATAGTCGAGAAGTGCTGTCCGATTACACGACTTCCCATCGGTTGCCTTCAGACATTCGTCACCACAGTAAATATTTCCTAAGCTAGTAATCAGAAAAGTTAGCTGCTACTTGTAAGCCAAATAACATCCTTCTCTCACGACCACACTGAATTTTTCGACACCTGCAAATTGTTTGTCTTAAAATTTGTGTTTTAAGGGATCAATAGGCTTTTTACTCTGCGTAATAATCTATATTATTTGAGACTATATATCCCCAAAGTAATAGCTTATCGATTAATGAATACTATTTTTGCTGTATAGGTATATTTCACTTCCCGAATTAAGTGTAACAGAGAAAATGCATGAGTAGTCTACCGAATTGTCGTTACTTCCGTAGCGTGTTTGTCATGAACAAGTGAATCAGTTGTTGATCAGTGAATCACTTTGCTTTTGTCGATGAAAACTTTTTTAAAATTTTATCATTCTTATTATTACCGGTCTTACATTCATCGTGTAATTCAGCGACATAAACAGTATATTGTGATTTTTTGATGGTTGTTAATTGTGATCTTAAAAATCTAGTGTGCTTTATTTCTATTATCAAACCTCTGATATTTCATTGAATGATATGGTACGAGTTTTAATTCTGCTTACTATTCCCTGTCTACTAGATATTTGTCCATCGCTTATGCTTGTTTGGTTCTCATGTATTTCAAGACTAGTTAAGGGTTAAAATCCACAAATGCTCATTTAAACAGCTATCACTATTCCATTTTTTCTCAAAGCTAACTTCTTTTATATGGTCTTTTGGTAGTCACAGTCATTCAACCTAAACCAAAAGATTGTATCAGACAATCCAAATAACAGTTAATCGATCACTGTTCTTTTATGATTCAAGCTGATTTGAATCGGGACGGAAAAACCTAGCTGAGTATCCTTTAGTATTGAAAAACTGATAATCAAGCACCTTTGATTTAAATTATTAACCGAACAATCTTCAACTACAACGTCAGCAGTTGATTATCTTTGCTGATTCAATAGATCACAGGATTGATCATGTTAAAATACCTTATGCGATTCTCGTTGTGACCTATGTTTCTCAACCTTAATCAATTTCCTTGAATAAAAAATGACTTTTACTAAATACGTTGTTCATAAGTTATCCGTTTTTCATTTCTGAGTCATCCTTCCCTTGAGATTATACGGATTGGTTGTAGTTATGAGTACAGCAAACATAACTTCCTTAAATCATGAAGTTTCCGTTATGGTATAGTATACTACGCTATAATGAGAAACCAAAGGCGGTCTTGCTGTTTACTAGACGTGGAAGGCGCAACAGCAGTAAGGTGTTTCCTACAGATGACTAGAAGTAACATACTGATACTGTCTTCCTTATGAAAAAAGGAGAGGTTAGAAGATCAATCCAACGAATAGCAAACTCCATACTCTGGTTTTTCGGTGAAGGTCGTATGGGTTTATAGCCGGATTCACTGCAAACAAAAGTAAGTCTCAGTAAGATCATGTGTGGGCGACATTGAGAGGATATTACTTGGGCTCTGTGGTCACAAACTACTACTACTACTAACGTGATGTTTTGAGAGTTATCTCAAGTAGAAGTAACTTTCCATGGTGTGGACAGCCGAGTATCAGCTGCTCTTCATTTAGACCACCTACTGCTACACACTATATTACAACACTAAGTAGGTCGTGGTTTCAAGTTTCTGGTGTAAATGGTATAGATTAACAGATTAAGATTCCTTCTAAACTCATCCGCATGCGGTTCTTGTAAAATCATTTACTCCTCGCTGTTTCTTAGATGTAAGTTATTAAGCTGAAGTGTTGTACTTCAAAAAATCAAAGATATCATACTGTCAGCAAATTAAACAATCGTGTTACCGTACCTATTTCATACCATACTTTTTTTTAACCCTAATTACCTTGTTACTGTGTGTCTCTACCTCGGAGTGATTCGTTTTCTCACTTTAACGTTGCTACAACGGTGATGTTTTCTTTATTGAATTTTCGCAGGTGTTATTCTGTACATTCTCCTTGTTGGATACCCTCCATTTTGGGATGAAGACCAAAATCGCTTGTACAGTCAAATTAAATCTGGAGCTTACGACGTACGTGCCTTACAGTGGAATATTTTCCACTGTGAAAACTTTTAACATTGACATCCCTTGCTATTCCTTTTTTCAGTGCGAAATATATTTTCGTCCACAGTAACTAATTTGTTGGTTTTAATTAGTTTTTGTACTTACGTTTTTATTATTTGAGTCGCACTGTCATAGCTAACTCATTCTCATAGAGCTCCAAAACCTAGAATATTTGGTAAAGGAAATCATATGTTGTTACTTGTATTATCCCTTCGTTGACTGAACTGAATTGACCGGCAGATACATCCAGATGACGAGTTCCACATAAGACGAAACGCGCGTCCTGGATTCTACTACTGACTACTATCCATCAATAATATAAGGGAAATCATATGTGATATAAAATTCTGATGTCGTTTACTGAGTTTCTTGTGTATTAGGTTACGATAGTCTGCTCATATTCAAATTGGCTCTAACAGAAAATATCAATGATACCATTTGTTACTAGGTGGTTGCATACTTTCCACTGAATGAATGTCTTTTCCTAAAATTCCTATGTGAGAAATAATTTTCTTCAGATTCTCTGTGTGCATTCACGCTAGTCCTGTTTTCAAAGTTAATCGAAATCGAACTTTTCTTTGAACGTTTAGTAAATCCAAGATACAGTTGTGACACTTCTACTGATTGTAGTCAGTCAAATGTTTAAACTTAGCACAAAGAGGTTCTCATATTTCATATATTTATACGGACTCAGGCACATTTAATGGGACCAATGCATTATTTTAGTCAAGCAAGTGTGACTGAGAAAATGGAAATCCTACATCAATTTCTTTTCAGCGTTTACTAGTGGTAGTGGTGCGTTAACTATATTCGATGTTATGCCACCAGGATATACCAGTTCACACTGTTTCTGTTTGTGCGTGAGAATAATAATAATCAGAACTATGTTATTGCTTGAACAAGATTGCATAAGATGACTGTAACAACTAGTTTTTTTCAACTAAATATCTCCTGACCTTTACACCTATCCATGGCGATTGCTGTCTACGTCAGCAGTTTTGGCTTATTCGAAACTGATGACAGTAGATATATGCATGGTGACTACAAACACACGTCGTTTATTTAAATATCGTGTAATCAAATTTCACGTAAGGCATAGCTGGAGTTTGTGCTTTTGAGTTTAACGTTTCACACACCTAAGACTTAACAAATACTGGCTAAAGAATACAGACATCTTGAGGATGAATTGTGAAATGTCCAGTGAACAGTGCGATAAATGAATATTAATCAAAGAGACTGAAATGAACCTAGTGAATACTGGCGAAGTAAAACCTTGTACTAAAATATGATAGTGTGTTAGAAGCAGTTACGTCCTGGATATACCCACCATGAAATTTTTCATCATCTTAAACTACTTAAAGAGCGACCTGGATTAGTGCTTTTTTCCACATATCTTAATCAACATCAGTTTTACACTGTCTTTACAGAAGTGTTGAGTTTTTTGAAAACTTCATCCGTTTCTCACAGAATCTGATCTGCGACAACAAAGCAGTGTTCACTTAGGTTTAAATTTCACTCATTTCGCCTCAAAAATGGAACCATTAGTTAGTCGATAGGATTACTGCTATCATCATATCTTGGAACGGTCAGCACAACTAATTTATGGAAGTAGTATTTGAATTCATACTCATATTAGCCTGAAAACTGATAATTATTTGAACGTGTCAAAATGTTGTGTCATGTTTAATATCTTGACTCACCAAGGAGATTAATTATCGAGGTCTAAATCCAATCACAAACAAAGCAGATGTTCAAAAATGTCTCAGAGATTTTCGCTATTGTTATTGTTCTTATTGTTAGTTTCTTTTCCACTAAAAACAAACGTCGATTAGTGATATTCATATATGTTACTGTAAGGATTTAGTTTCGTGCTACTCTGCCTGATTTTTTTCTGTATGGGACAAATATTTTGATCTGTAACTTAAGGTCGATCGAAAGCGTACTTGGAATCATTCGTCACGCTTAAATATCTTCAGTATACTGCTTACAAGATGTAACTATCACTGATATTTCGTTGCTTTTGGCTTTGAATTAAGTAATATGTATTTAGATACTATTTATCTGACTCAACTAACCACTTCTTAACACAGTTTTTTGTTTTAAATTTCACCCAGTATCCTTCACCTGAATGGGATACCGTTACTCCTGAGGCCAAAAATTTGATCAACCTAATGCTTACTGTTAGTCCTGCAAGACGAATTACGGCAGCTGAAGCTCTCAAACACCCTTGGATTTGTGTATGTTACGATTTATGTTTTCAGTTGTTTCTTTCTTAAACTTTTTGTTCTGATTCATGTATTTCCCTGGAGCCTAAGCAGCGTCATGAATCCCAACCTTCTTATAATAGGGTGATTAAATCTGAAGATTACAAAGATATTCCTCTGATGCATCCTCTAGCCTTTGCTACGCCTAAACTGAAATACAACATTTATCCACAAGATTACGGCTTCAGTTCATTGTCCACTTCTGAGGAAATTTTTATTTTATTTGGTACGTAAATTGCTCACCGATGAAATCAAAACCTACGCATAAATATTTCATGAGCAACATTCACTTTCAGCTATCGAAGAACCCTGCTCAAGTAATAATATTGTTTTGCCTTATGCGTTATTAGAATAAATTAGATGGATGGGGAATTAGTTAAACTGATGCCATTTTTCCAGGTGAGCCTGAACTTTAATGCTACATATTAAAAATTCCAAATTTTATCTAGATATTTCGATTTAGTAGCGGATGAATGCAATGGCATAACTAATATGTGGTTACTTGAATGGATTTGCATACTTGCGTACTCTGTGTCGAATAAGTATTAAAATGCAACTCTGGCATTTATTCGCTGGGTTATGAGCCACACTTATTGTATAAGAGCATATGATATACCCGATTGTGGAGTAAGATTTGAACCGATAACACATTATATTTTATGCCATTTTATGCCTATATAAGATATTCCAAGTGCACACCATTGTCACTTATTCAATCCCGACAGAAATATTGTCGTGTTTTGTGAATACTCAGCAAGCATTTATTGGTTTCAGTGTCTCGGTAAAGGCAGACAAATCCATTACTGTGTGTATTACATATTCTTTGGTTGAAGTAGTATCACGTCATCCAGATTATTTAATACTGATGATCAATTGAACGAAATATCCACGTGTTTCTTGTAGGTTTCGTTATATTGTTGTATTTATTTAACTTCAGTGTGTTATTCACAAAGGTTGCTTTGACTTTTATGTCTAATTAATTTCACATTCCAGAGTTTAGATGTAAGCCTAAGTTAACGTGTTTAATTTGCTTTATGTGCAAACTAAAATGAGTTGAATTTAACGGGATTTATACTTAAAGTTAAACAACTTAACATTTGCTGTGTATCACCCTCCTGTATGCTTAACTAATTAATTATTACTTCATGCATCAAGTAAAAATGGGGTTCATTTTGTTTTTGTCAATCCATCTCACCTCCACCGATTGTTTAATGTGGTCTGATTATGCTACTTAGCATTCCACTTTATCACTAAGACATGGATGTCATTAGCAGAAGGCACAAAAAGGTTCGGGGTTTCCATTTACTTCTCATCCATTTCTGTTGTGTGTTTTTCCTTTTGCTCCTTTGGGGTTTCCGTTGATTTTTGTTTATCTTTCCTTTAAAAGGATAACCATGCACTTATTTTACCTCTATTGATTTCGTGAAATACACTCAATGTCTAACATGCCAGATTGTAAGCGCCTTTTGTCACTCATAATACGTCCACTGTTGTGAGAAACAATATAATTGACGTCTTTGCAGATTTCATCAACTCAAACTGCGAGTATATTTTGTTGCTTGGGGCTGTTTAGCGATTATCTTCGACATTTTGATCGTCTGTTTGAAGATACTTGACATTTTTCCTTACTTTTCAAATGCTTCTGGACTAGTCTAGATCGACATTACCTAATAATTGGTAGCCAAGCAGTTTAGTTCAGTGAACACATATAGGAGGCAAAAGGTTTGATAAGCTTTCACCAACTTGCACCTGTTTTGGTACCAGAAGAATATCTGAATGTGTTTCTCTAACCCTAACCATTATGTGTTTATATGAAATGTGACCACCTTTGAACTATTAAGAAGTCAGGTCCTACATTGTTAATCTTTATCTAGTTGTGCCATAAAATAATGATGAGTATGCACTACTAACAACATATTTTTTACCGAGCACAATAGGATAATTCTGAATTTGTGTTATGAAATTGTAATCTAAAAATTTCAACATTTTAGAGAGCATGTAGTGCAAGAAAAGACTTGAGCTTATAGAGAGTTCCTTCATTTCCTACCTTACTGATGATTATCCAACTCATTCTGCATAGTCAAGAAAAGCCATATGTCAACATTCTATATAGCTTTTTTTGCTGGAAAAGTAGATAAATTGCTTATACTCACGTGTTTGCTGTTACTACCTAGACTTGTTTGTCTGCTATAATTTCATTGTAATGACTTCAACTCACATGCATACCGGGCTAAATGCACAGGTTATTTTAATAAATGCATCAAACTTTGTTTAACTTTTCACGTTTTTTTCCATTTTGGCTTTACACATGCATTTGTGATGTGTAGATCAGTCATGTTTATCTGACCTGAAATTGGCACAGCCTTTATAACTCCAACTCCTATAAAAATAACAACAGCAGTAACATCAATCTTTACGTCATATCATTGTTGGACAAGAGTAGAGGTTTCATGTGTATCAGTCCTATTTGAAATAAAAAGACAATCATTCAAATGTAGTGATTCTGCAAACACACATGAGAATACAACTCACATTCTATCGTTCATTCAGCCTCACTTATAACAGTAAGATCGAGGTAAACCTCATTATCTTTTATCAATAAAATTCAATTATTGCTGTGACGACAGGGTCGATAATTATTCATTTAACCTGTACTCATCATCACTGCAATCATCTAGAAGTGGGAAAGCTAAGTGGTTAGATTGTTGGTGTTGTTATCGTCGTCATCTTTAAATGAAGTCTGTCTATGACCTCAATAGCCATCAAATTGTTCGTTTCTCTTTGTCTCTTCTGTTGTCTTCGTGTATTCTTTTGTTTCTGATTGGGACAGAACCGTAGGGGTAGAGAAATATATGGGGGTGAAAATTGTAAAATATGACCTATTGTCTCTAGATTCCTAATCATACTAAATTCATTTGCAAATGTTTTTTCTCTCTCGTTCTTTGCCTTATGAATGTATGACTAGTGTGATAATTTCTCACTTTCCAATCCTGTCGTTTGTAGACCAGCTCATTACTCTATGTGTATATTTATGTACACATCTGTGATTGCTTTTCATCGGTTTAGTGATATGGTTTGCCTCAAAACATGAAGATTAAATTTAATCTTCCGTTAATGTTTTCTTTCCTAATCTGACTTGCCGTGTCACGAAAATGAAACGGATATTAACAAGAATATCTGTGTGAAAAACTGTCATATGAGATCAGTATAACATCATGAATGTTCAGCGGTATCAAGGCATCCGAGCCTATCTACCAACAGAGGTCGAACAATTCGGCCCTGTATAGCATCTGAAAATTACAAGTATCATAACAATAAGTCATTTAAATTTAAATCTCTTACCAAATTACTATGCATAACCTATCGCTATTACAGAAAGTACTGGCTTGCAGGAGGCTGTTAGCTATTATTTCAGTCTTGCCTTTTCCTTCCAGTCATTTTCTTATTGAATTAGTGGTACATGAATTACTCTTAGCACACCATCTATTTTCTGTAGATAATGGACCAACCTTACAGAAGTCATACTAAGTGCTTGGTGTCTAACTTTTTGCGTATGATCAGCTTAGACGTTGGAAATATTCATTCTAGGGTGTCAACCAAGCTGTTAAAGTCATATGCGGTCTTAGTTTATAAGTCGACGGTTATTCTACTTCTCAATAGGCCAGATAAGCCGATTAATTAAGTATTAGGCAAATCTGTCTCAGTCTACGTTATTTATGTATATATGTTCTTTTCCATTGTTAACGGTATATATAATCAAGTATGTAGAGTATCCAGCTGACAAGTACTTCTGAAATTTATGAATTCATTAAATCCTACTCTTTTCACATTCGTTGCTTGTTTTGTATTAGACAATACCCTTTCTGTTATGTAAGCAGACCTTAGGGAACCCTACAAATCAATGATACTAATAGACTAGGTTTGCTTTAGTTCTATCGCCTGCGAATAAATTTCCCATCAATCACTGAAGTGTGTGTGCTCTAGGTACTGCAACACCAAACTCTCAATTTTTCTCGTGGTATCTAATCAAGTGCTATGCGACTTTAACAATGAACCATTTTTGGCCATGAGTCACTAGTCTTACTCAATGTCGTTCGAAGATTTTACACTGGGATTACTGACTTTTAGTTCTTTTTTTCACTGAACTTCTCATGCTCACAAAACGTTTCTGCCTATTTAGAAAAAAAATTATTTATTCACATTTGTTTCATGATCCCAGTAACCAAATTTTTAGCTTCGTATTTTTATGCCTTATTCGTTTCGCTTGAAAAATATCTGAAACGTAGATTTTTTCTGTTCACACACCTAAGTTATGCTTCTGACCTGCTATCCAAGTCAAGTTATATTATGGTTTCTTGCATCATACTTTTAGTATTCAAAAGCAACCCTTGTACTCATAAAGTAACATCGTCACCGTCTGAAATTGATAAATATCGCTGTTACATAGATTGATAAGTATGGAAGATAGTTATATCAGCATTTATGTTGGTACCCATGCGTAAATACAATATGCATTCCTTCATCATTATGTTTTTCTGTGTAGTCTAGTGTTAAGTGAGATTCGAACTTAACTGTATACTGTTTCATCGATATTTACGTATATCGTACAGCAATGAACTTTTTCCTTATAAGAAATCTCATTCAAATGTTATTTCTAACGAGTTCAGTTTGATCTGTTTCTGGAGTTTGTTCAACCTTATTTACTGCAAACCATACCGACAATGGTCAATAAAATTGCTTAGCATACGTAGTAAACACTCTAAACTTATCTCATCATGCTATGCATATTAAATCACATGTAGATCAAAAAAACGTTTTACGGGCTCTTCAAAAATAGTGTGGTGCCTCGCATAAATATGTCACCATTGACAAGTTTTTTGATACCTACCTGATGGGGTAGTGTTTTCGAATTTTAGTGTACCGCGCGAAAGTAATATATTCCTCAAAAACTATCCTAAAATAGTCACTCTGGCAAGCAAGAATATCACTACATTCAGCTATTGATGTTATTTAATATAAACCTGTTCTGTCTACAACTTTCCAATCTAACCCATATCAAAAACGTAACACGTAAGGTGAAGGGGGTTGTGAAGTAACCACCAAATCAGTTATTTATTTGATTGTCTGCACATTGAAAAGGCGTTTATCTCCTTCCAAACTGGTGTGGGGATTATCTTCAGTGTTTTCTTATTTATATTTCCTTAAATGTTGGTGCCGGTGTGGTTGCTCAAAGCTTTCTTTTTTTATAACCATCATTTAATGGATTTTTTTTAAGTTCTTTTAGTATCCCTAATTCCATTTTAAGTACTAGCATTAATATATATATATATATATATATATATATATATATATATATATATATATATATATATATATATATATATATATATATATATATATATATAATCGAGACAGAGACAGCTCAATCAACGATTAGAAGTCAATTTCATTTGTAGCTAGTACACAGCCTAATGACATGAGTTTGATTCTCAAATTAAAATACGTTGTAAATATTGTGTGGTGATGTCAAGTATGTGTCGTCCTTCCCTTTTCAATCATAGGAAAGAAATTGTGAGGACTTTGACACCCATTTTCCTACTTTGAACAGGATACAACAGGTTTAAAGGAGTAACTCTGTGTTGGACTTATAGATATTTAGGATATCTCAGCCTCATTTCCATGTCCACCCATGATCCCAAAACGTCGATCTGTAAATGTCAGACTTACTGTGAAGCGGCGAACCAGGAGGATAAAGTTAACCAAAGGTTGTGACCTTACTCTCTTGATAGATTAAACAATTTTTTTAACATATATTATTTCTTCGATAGTTCTTCTTTCTAACCTATCAAACATTAATGCTTTTTTTGTGTTGAAGCAACGGGAGCGCGTAGCGTCCCTCGTGCATCGTCAAGAAACCGTGGAATGCTTAAAGAAGTTCAATGCGAGGCGTAAACTGAAGGTATTTCATTCATAAACTACTTTGACGACATCGTCAGCCTTAATTATACGTTTTATGTTAACTGTGCTTGACCTGGCTTACAGTAGTTTTGCTGATAGGGATATTACTTGTTACAATATTTATACCTACCTACGCATATAACCTCTTCCTTCCTTTCTTGGTTTCTGTCTTATTTTTTCCATTTTTAGGGTGCTATTTATTTTGAGCACTAAACCTCACACTAATACATTGACTGATGTTGTAATCTCTAGTTTTATCACAATATTAAGTCGACAACGCCGCCGATTCGTCTCCTTTCGTACCAGTGTTAATAAACGGTCGAAGCTTCGTTTCTGTTCAAGAGGTCCGTGCTCGAATTCTTTACTTTATATCGGTAATTTATGATGAGCTTCGGAATTTTCAGAATATCAAAAGTAATACTGTTAATTTATGACAACACGAATTCTCGTTTTTGGATGCAAAATCTGTCAATGAAACCAAATGTGTTTATGACTCCTGGATTAAGATCTGTGGACACTATGCGAAAGTGTTGCTTTACTATCAGCTTTTTTGGGTCCTTGTAATGCTCTTTCTTTTCATATTGACATGCACTAACAAATGAATTCTTGAAGCAGCTTTAGTTCCGAATATTTTCGGAACAAAATGAATAGATAGAGCTTAAAAAGAGTAAAATCTCTGTTTATTCCAAAACCACTTTTTAATATCGATACACTACGATAAGTTGTATGAGTCCGCGTCATCTACTAATACTCAGTTTGTTATTGTTGTTATAATTCTATGCTACTAAATACTCTTGGTCTCTTATTGTTCCGTGCATTGACCTGTGTAGAATTCATTCGTCTCTTGATATAAGAAGTTCACGTGAGGATAGCAATGTGGAGTTTCTCACGAATGTGTTCCTTCACAAAACTGCGGAAAGAGGACACTAGAGAAGATAGCAGCATATCAGAATCAAGCAGAAGAGGTCCCTAAGTATTGTAGTTAAATTAAGATTAATAAATATTGAATTAGTCACAACACAAACGATTGTATCCTGCACCTTTTATGTTTAAGACTAAGAAGAATAAACTAAATTTACCTAAAAGTGCACATATTATCCTTATCCATATTAACTCAGCGAATAGCTGCAAATCCATCCAACCATCCAAATCAACATAAGACTAGGCATCACTGCGTAACGGTCCGAGTTGCCACACCTCATATCAGCACATCAAGTAAAAAGGTAGTGAGGTGCAAGATGAAGATAAGGAAGTTCAGTCAAAAGAAATATAAAGTACGAAAAGAGAGAAACCAAGAATGAGAAAGTGGTGAGATTAGGTATAGTGTTAAGATGAGGATAATGTGTGTATACATATGCGCCACTAACATCGGTCCTGAGCCATATCACCTAGTCTCCAACCACTGGTTCCTCTTGCCCCGCCAACCCCAACCACCTAGTCTGCATCGCCTCATATGGCTCAAACCACAGTCAAAGACTTCATACATTAGTGCCATGTTTTAGTCTGGCCACCTCGGGCCTTTTTCCAGCCTGAACCTACTTCGGCCAACATTGTGTGGCGAGGCAATCGGCGACTAGGCATACGTAATACGTATCCCAACCATCTCAGTCGATGAAGGTTCATAACCGTGTCAAATGACTTACCTCTTCTCCCTAAAAATCTACACCTGACTTCTGCATTACTCACGTGGTGACACCACAAAAGCTTTCTCACGTCTTCCACCTTTTCAAATTGTTCTTAAGTATTTACTTTTCATATATTCACTTCGATTACTGGTGTGTTCCAATCATCTGATCAAACTCAAAATGTTTAGACAGTGTTGTAGACGAAGTTCATGTTTGATATGTCAACCAATGCATTCTGCAAGCAGTACATTTAACCACTCAATCACATGCCTTCAAGAAAATCTTAATCAATATTATACTGTGAGATTTGAGTGTTGTCACATAGATATAAATTTCTCTTCTGCCACACATTTTTCCTTTATGAAGACATGCTAATAAAACCATGCTTTGAATTTAAATGATTTTTACTGGTGTCGTAAACATTTTTTTATTCAGTCTCTGATGTCAGATTTTAACATTAACAAAGTGTTTACTTCCCATACTGTATTTGGTTTTTAATTAACTACAATCATCGTATTTCTCTCTTATATGTAATTTTCTAAACATGATACGTTTTATTGCAGGTTATTTGCTGTTCCGTACTCAAGACACCTATTTCATGTATCTTTTAGCTAGAAATCTTTTGTGAATAAGGCTTTAAACTGTCATGATTAATTACAACTTGCTGGAGATCTCAGCTAGCCCAATCAAATCACATGTAGTGCTTTCACTACCATTGGCAATGCGTATTCAACATGTATTACTACTATATTACTCCCATTCGAATTCCACTTACGGCATATATTTCATATTCTGTTGACCTTTACTTCATGTCTTATTCACTTCTGTTTATGAGTACAGGTTCTTACTATTACGAATTTGTCTTTAAAGTAATCGAAGCATCTTCTATTCCATACTGTCTACTGTGTGATTGAACTCACTTGTGAAATCCATAAAATCTTTTATTTCCCTTTGTCGCAAGATCATCGGTAGGGATATTACTTGTCCATGTTAAAATATGTATACCTACCTACGCATATAACCTCTTCCTTCCTTTCTTGGTTTCTGTCTTATTTTTTCCATTTTTAGGGTGCTATACTTACGACTATGCTAGCCACACGTAATTTTTCCAGTAAGTTCAGCTTTCAACTCTTATTGGTAAATGTCAATCTCCCTTCCACCTACCTTGCTTTTTGCAATTCAATTTATTCCTTCATTTAACAGTCATTGAAGTATACCTGTTCTCAGATGATCGTATTGCCAGGTTTTTAAATGACTATGATACTACTGCATGAGATTTTCTTATTGTCTGCCACAACCTATCTGTCAGTAACACATATCATTTCATCTCTCTTTTGCTCTCCTTTCCTTTTTCTTTTGCTTTTTCGCATGATTATTCACCTTTTTTCCATCTATAGTGAAAAAGGATGATAGTTGTAAGTCGTTTGCAATAACAGCTTATTTTTTTCGCTATCCATCTATCATAATAAACGACCATTCACCGTGTATAAAGGTTTTTGTTTACATCTGTTGTTCATTATGCCCGTAAATGTTGTCATCATGTACATGGAAATAATCTCAAACTCCATACTGTTCAAGCACTGTGTGTGTGTGTGTGTAAATGCGTCGATGTATAATCATTATTCCATCTAATATGTAGGAGATAAAAACTTCAGAGTTTGCATCACCTGCTTATTATCACCAACACTCATTACTGTCATATGAATAAGCAGGAAAAATAGACTAAATTATCAGTCTCAATTTCTATCTGTGTAATCACATCTCGATTATCATGTATCCAACTGCTTGATGATGTTATTTACATCGGATTTTCGTAGTTGGGTATTTTAGGGGCAAATATGAACGATAGATTTCTAAATGTTTTGAATAAAACAGTAGCATGTTCGGCATACTTTATTTTTGCCAAATTCTCTATCGTAAACAATGAAGTTCAATCAAATTTAGATTAGATTCTTTTCGAAAATGCTCACCATGGATTCTGACCCTGTAAACAACATTAGTTTTAGTGTTTACTGAATAAATATACCGTAAATGTACCCACTCCTAATTTAGTATCTGCTCTCCACTAAACCATTTGTAACATGTTTCATCACTGTCTGGTGTGGGTTTATTTTTATTCAAATTCGACGTCAGTTGCTTGGTCATATTTGAAAATAAATGTTGTCTTGTATTTAGCCAGGTTTGTTGCAATATTTTCAATTTGTTTGTCGTCTGTGCTAAATGTATACGATGTATTTTTACTAGTTGATCCTTCAATCTGTATATTGTTGTTTTACGCCCTTTGAAGCTGGTCGAGGTACTGTTCCAGGTAGTCATGCTTCTGTGACCAAAAAGTCTAATGATGGTATAAAAGAACCATCTGACAGCACTGTTACAGTAATGGAGGATTCAGCTGATGTGAAAAGTTAGTTTTTACTTCCTGCTTTCGTACTATTGATTCGTATTATTACTGTTACCATTATTATTATTATCGTCATCAGTGTGTCACTTCTGATTTGAATGCAATAAACGCCGCTTAGTTTTGCTGATAATAATTTTTGTTTTTTTGCTTTCAATCTAATCTCTTATTTAAAGAACTACTGGCATGTAGTACCATTGTGAAAGCAGAAAGCTCTGTTGAAAGTGAGTAAATTATTAAGTGATCCCTTAGCAATCTAAGTTTCTTTTTTCGCATAGAAAAAGGAATGATGAATGCACGTTTTGAGTCTTCTAGTGTACATAACCTCTTTCGCTTGTAGTTATTAATATACAGTCCTGGTTATTACTGTTCCTTAGTTTCTTTTCTAATTTTCCTTATGATAAATATTTTTTTCACTGCAACAACTATCCTAAAAGTAATTTTTAAAAAATCCTATATATATATATATATATATATATATATATATATATATATATATATATATATATATATATAATCTACATAACTTCATTGAGTCGAAATGCATGCCTTCCATCTTCCAGGATATTAGAGGGATTGTGAATAATCAAATGCATATCAACCTTCCATGTTAGATGAATTTTCTGGATGTGCATTTCGCTACATGTTCACTCAGCTGTGATCTTTTTCCAGTTTTCTGTTGTTGTTTTTTTAAAATAAAAAATAATGCAGTTGTACTGATACCTTTTATGTGTAGATTCTTTTTTCTTTTGATAATGTGAAATGTGCTTACAAGGGTATCTTTTCAAAAAGTTAAACTGCTAACCCCATAATAATTTTTACGGTCACTGGAACCCAAGCATTATAACTATAAAATGACTTTCATCATATATGACTTTCAACAAACGAAGTTAATTGTTGTTGAACTATTTAATGACGTATACCCTATTCTGATAATAAGTTGTTTGTAACATGCTATCACAGTTGTTTATTTACTGATTTTTATTTACTTTGACATTTAATGTAATTGGTAGTGGTAACTAGGTTAACATATGTCAGAAAGTTTCATCATAAAAAAATTAGTAATTTTTATCATAGCTTTCTCTGAAACACTACTAGAAAATTCCTTCTAGTAAAGGAATTAAGGTTGGATGTTTCAAATGATGTTGATGAATCTCCTACATACAAGTCTTTGTGTAATTGAACACAAAACCTAATACTACAGTATTGAATCACATTACGTCATGTCTTCTAAGTTAGTTATTGGTAGCACAACTCCCTATTTTGATTAGTCACTGTTTGCTGTCATTTCACTTTGGTAAGAATTCTTATTGAAATCAATTTACCCCAAGTCAAACTTCTAAACTGTTGAATTTCAGGAAAATGACTGATTTAACACAATAGATTTCATCACAAAGTGATATTCAACATATTTTTATTTATTGACATACTTGTTATACTCCGTTGTTTTTGTTGGATCGATAGTATACCTACTACTCGTTGTACAAGAATTGGCTATCGTTCCTCCGTGGCATAGTGGAGTTTGAAGCGATGGGTACGAGGTTCGAGTCTCAGTGGGAACAACGTCACTGGGGTGCAGGTACGTTCAGCTGGCGAGTCCCAAATAGGACGAAACGCGAATCTTGGATTCTTCTGCTAGCCACAACCAACCAAATTATCATAGTTTCTATTATTGGAAAACATCCTTCATTTCGTTCATGTGTAATAAAGTGACTCATCACATTTCCCGACTTAACCGTTGTGAAAATAGACTCCGTTTCCCACCACATCCTTAACGATGTGACCTTTTAATTTCGTATTTTGTTTGAAGTGACCGCAGACTCATTTTGTCCAACTGTAATGCATTTGGATGTAATATCGTCTATTTCAGTGTCGAAAGTTTGATGACGTAACCATGACGCAAGGATATTTCCATATCTCTCCAGATACATCCAGTCGCTGTTGTCCACCGAATGAATAAATGGTGGTTGCTAAGATAAGATCAGCTTCAGATACCAAAATCAGAGCGTCTTCCATTTTTTTTAGAGCCTACGAAGTTGCTTATCTGACCGATGTTATGCAGAATATATTATAAAGTTGTCACTGTTGTTTTACACATAGATGGATATGTTTCATTAAATGGAACCCATCTGTATTGCCCGTGGTTATACCTTGACTTACTCAAGCATTTGTGTTTACTTATTTGTATAGGGAATAAAATGTGTCTAAATGTCGATTAGTATGACAGTTTGTGCCTATTTTGTTTTTGATGTATCCCGTGCGTCCGTATTATTTTCGATATTCTGGATTATTTGCATGAGCACTAAAAATCGTTAGAAGAATAGATTTGCATGCACACACGATTGTTTGTATTTATTCATGTATCACGGCCGCCACACAATATATACTGTGCATAGTGTAGAATCATTTAGCAAATATATAATAAATTGGTTTGGGGAACTATACATCAAGAATTAAAGCTGAAAGGTAAGTGTACATTTGCTTGCTCGTTCGTAAATAAACCTAACTGCGAATGAAAAGCAGACTACTTTGGGTAAACGCTATTTTAGAAAAAAAATCCACTTTTCAGTCAATGTTTTAGTGTTTTGGGGGAATGGCTACATCTCAAAGTAATAATCATTCATCAAGTAGTGCCCCAATTTATGGTACAAAAGTGAAGTTTTTGACTGGAACAAAAAATCCGTATATAAAGTAATCTGTGTTTAAGAATTCCTGATGAGTCTCAAATTTGAAGCTTCGTTCAACTTCATGTTCCCTTCTCTATATATTGATTTCTGAATGCCTAGGTTGTGTTTCCCAACTGTTTATCTTGATGCAATCGGTTTGGATGCATAGTGTAGAGTAACATGATTCTCAACACCGTTACGCATATTAATATAACATCACTGGCGTTTAATTACCAGGACCATCTTCATTTTTCGAATATCAATATCAATATAATTCAAATCAAGAGAATGAGCTTAGAAACAAAACCATTTTGTCAGAAATATCGCCTCACCTCTCAGAAATGGAAAATCTCACACAATCTATCATTTAAATAAGTCACTTAAAATGTTGGTATGCCGATATCATTTTTAAAGTTATAAAAGTTTTCAGTAAGAGCTTTCTTTTGTGCTAAATTCACGTGGCTTTTTTCCAATATAGTATACATAATACATTATCTCGATTCATCGTATTCTGTATGCAGTTAACTGATGTGTGAGAATGTATCCACACACTCAAAATAGAAAAATCCTGGTTATCATGTCCAAAATCTAATTAAAAAACTTCTGGATATATACAAACGTGTTGTTTGTGAGATTAACAAGGGAATTATTTAATTATCTTTTCTTCATTTTTCTACTTCTTGATTTCACTACTGTGCTGTTAATAAGTGTGGTTATTCGGATTGTTGCGAGAACAAGGAGGGACGAGGTAAAATGAACTTCACTGCGACCATTAAGATGAAGATAACGTATGGATACATCGCCACTGACATCGATTTTTAGTCACATCGCCTAGAGTTTCTAACCACTGGTTTCTGTTGTCATATAGAGACCTTCCAGGAAATCGACATTTACAGACACGTCTCATACTAACAGTCAAAAACTTCACTCATTAATATCGTGATTTTGTTTGGTCACCTCTAACCTTTTTCAAGACTGAACCTACTTCTGCTAACATTACGCGACTGAGCAGACGGTGACTAGGCAGGCATGTATAACACATACCACAGCCCCCTGAGTTGTTGAAAGTACACAACCTCATCAACTAACTGGCCTCTTTTCCCTACAGCCCAGCACCTGATTTTTACCCTACCAACGTCGTGGTCCCAGGATGAGCGGCCTATGCTACTTAGGCAAAGTTCGTTAAACAACTGAAACTGATTTCCTCTATCTTTAAGGAATATGTTTCAGTGATATGGTATAAGAGAGAGAACTGTGGTACTGTACACTCGGTATTTAAAAGGTATTGGGATTTCATGGTGGCCCCATAAGTGGTTTAAGTTGACCAAGGCCAATCGAGTCTTGTATCCGAGATGTCGTAGGCCTCGTACCCACCGGCATTGATCGCACTTCTAAGGTACATATAGTGGTTAGCATGCTTGACTACTCGATCCCTGTTGTTCGCCAACTTGGCCAGCTTTGGAGCAGCAATTAAAATTCGGGTTGTAATGTTAACATCGCTGTTCAACTTGCTAGAAAACAAAACTAACCAACGAATAATCATCATTGTCATAAATAAAAACATACTCATACGCGGAATATTGACGCACAACATACGCGAGGTTATTTTACACACCAAGATAAGCAGACCAAATTAGGCGAATTTGCCTAATTATTGGTATGTTTAAACCCAGTCTCATTTTTTAAACTGCAGCAATAATTCCTCAGGAATAAGAGCCGATATATCAACCAAATGGTTTCAAGATGTATTATCAGAAACTGCCGGTTTTCAAGAAACCTGAGCAGTGCGATTATCTCTCATAAAAGACATGGACCGGAAACCCACTCAGTTATTCGATGGTGCGTAACGACTTACCATTTAGTGGACTTCGAATCCTATTGAGTCATAAAATAATATTTAAATGTTCAGTCCCAACCTCCATCTCGCTTTGAACGTTAGCTAAGCAACAAGCTTTTTACGAATAGGGTTTGCTAGGCATTGCTTTGTTTGACTGAGTAACTTTATAAACCGTCTTACCAACTATTGAATATGCTGATTAAGTTTTTTTGTCTTTTGAAAAACAACTTTTCTAACCGAGTCGCGGAAAAGCAGTTGGCTATTTTAGTAGTTTCCAGAGTGCACCCTGGTGTTACTGTTTCATTGCGTCAAATTATCTAGGACTTAGCTTCACTATCGTTTTCTAGTGATTACTTGATCGCTTGTCCATGCTGTTACGCTAGTCGTTAATCGATACGCATTTATCCAGCAATTTTCTCTACTCTTTCTAATGATCTGTTTTGCATATGGCTAAAATAGCACTAAAGATAATTAGTAGTTAATTATTAATCAAAGTGGGCATAATTGACTGACTCATTGCTTCTGGATCACCTTTACAACTGATGAATTTAGTTCTTTTACCGGAATAAAGTCACAGACACAAAATAAAGTATTTGTTTTTCCCTGTACCATTCCTTCGACTACTAATTATTTCAGAGCAAACATTATTGTTATACTTCGTAAAATTATATGCATTTATGTCCTTCACAGGCTTTTTTCTACTCTAAATTGATTTACCAAA